TTAATCCTACAACGATCTTCAGTATGTCCGTCTTTATTACAGTAATTACAATGAAATTTTAAAGTACGACAATCATCAATAGTATGTCCTCAGTAGTAATGTCCAGGTCTATGACAATGAATCACAAGTTTTAGATGAGTTGGAAAATTGCACGTTGTTTTTGAAATAGCGGCTAGCAATGGAAAAATTCTCTCACCGGTTCTGATTGAATACTGCCTCCTGCATTTCCTTCTTGTACTATTAACGAGTATGCCTTGGTCGCACGTTTAGGCTGTAATGGTGTCCATCATGAGAATATTGATCTTACGGCGCTATATGACTCATCTTGAGAACCCATTAAAAATTGCATCACCTGTCTTCCTGAAGTTGTTCTAAATGCGATGGCAGTCTGATTGCGCAGGTGAAATGGGGTTTGATAAGTATCTAATTCGTCCATATACGCCTTCAGTTTTGATGTATAAGAGGCTTACTGACTGGTACTCTCTGTCCTCTGTGTAATTGTAGCAATTGATTTTTGAAACTTGGAAAATTGCTGGTGCATTTTCTAGAAAAAATTGATGCACCGAAGATCAATCCCAGACTTGTGCGCAGTTTTTGCATGTAACTTATACCTTCGGCTAGATTAGGGTTCAAACAGAGTGCGTTCACATGATAAATCATGCTGTTTGCACTGATTCCATGCAAAATCTGCGGGCTCTTCTACCTGTGAAGGAGCTTCAATGGATCCATCAATAAAGCCAATTTTGTTTTTGGCAGTGAGTGCATGAATCATGGCTTTGCTCCATGATTGATAATTGGCACCGTTTAACTTAACGGGCACAAGAAGATGTCCAGGTTGGTCAGAATGATGGACAAGGAATGGGTGAGAAGGATTAGGTATAGGCTGTTCTGAGGTTTTGTTTTCATCGCTCATGGCTAAAGGAGGACAATAAACTAGACCCTCAAATCAGGCTCTGATACCATCTAAAATATCAAGCGAAGAAATTAATTTTATGGAGAATTGTGTATTTCTTATTGATCATCAACACTAATTTATACAGAGATATATACCATATCATCTCCTAAACATCAGCCTATCATTAAGCTATTTACAGGTAATTGATATATCATCTCCTAAACATCAGCCTATCATTAAGCTATTTACAGGTAATTGATTGTCTTTACAAAATAATCACATATCTAAATATGGAAAAGATAAATACAATATATTTTCCTTAATAAGTTTTTTTTGTTTCTTTTCAATGCTCCATCATATGTTCATCTTAACCCTTGATTTTGGTTTAATTTAAAATAAATGGTGGGGATTCAGTTGGGTTTGTTTTTTCTCCTTCTCCATCATCATTATGTGACAACATAAATCACTTAGTTGTCTTTTTCTCTATTATACATAGAATGACTTGTTCAAAAATAATTAATTAAATAACGATAATATTACAAAAATAAAAATTAAATTGAAATTCTTTTTGATGATTACTATTTTAGCCTTTTTAGAGTGTGAGGATGGACAAGTACAACTCAAGACCAGAGCCAAACAAAGGCATCTACAGGCAAAAACAAACACATACAGTTGGGGAACAAGTGGGACTAGCTGGTCAATACAGCCCACGGCATTGATACGACATGTTAATTATATTTATTTTGATTAATATTTTTTTATATGAAAAGCGAGAGATTTTAAATTTAAATTTTCTCTATTATAAAAAATTATTGCATAATGAAAATTTTAATGTGACAAACAAAAAAAAAGAATTAGAGGACGTAATTCCTATCTGAATGAATTATGTTGGGAGATTTTTTATGGAATGATTTTGTCTTTCGATAGGTACGTGGAAGAGGAATAAGAAGAAGAAGAGGAGAGGAAATAAATAGAGCTAGGTCCCCACGTGGAATCATGTTGAAGAAGCAATTTCGATTTCGAGATGCCTCATGCAGTGTGATTGATCTGGAAACGTCCACGTGGCAAGTGTAGAACCTTCTTTTTGTGGTACCAAATGAATAACCATACTGTTGTGGAAGAATCCAATTTCCTTTTATCAACTAAAGTTTTAATTTTTTTTTTATTGGATCCAATCAATCAATTTAATTTTAATTTTAGATCAATCAAGTAAAAATTATTAATAATCTCTCCCTAAATAACTATTTTTTAGTTTAATTAACCCGAATCTTATTACACAAGTAACTCATGTGATAATATTTATTTTCTAGTACAATAAAAAAATAACATTTCATGGAAAATGTATTATGGTATTTAAATTTTCTTCAATTAAATTTTTTTTAAATAGCAATTTTCTTCAATTATTTAATATTTATTAGGTGTGAGAAGAATAATAATTGAAATAAAAAAAGACATATAGTAGCATATTTGTTTAGTTCCTACCCAACAATATTAATCTGAACAGCTGTTTAGCGTTCCAAGTTAGGGTTGATGAGATTAAATTGTCACTGTCGATGATGGGTATGGCGATTGGCCCCATCTCAATATCATATCTTCCCAAATCATTTCCGTCGATCCTATCCAAATGTACAGCTCTGATTTTAATTATATACCTTGTAATTGTATTTTATGCACTCATTGAGACATCGACGTCCTAATAGTTTACATCCATATCCTAATTGAATTAATTTATTTTTTATTTATTCAAATATATTTTTATAGAACAGTGAGGATCAAGTTGAATAAAATTGATTTAATTTAATTTAAATTCCGTTATCTGAATATATATTTTACGAGAACTATTATTATTATAATAAATTTTTTAAAAAAATAAAATAAAGAAATTAAATAAGTGTTTTAAACCCTTTGAAATGAATCCTAATGTAACTCGAACTTGTCCTGGACTTCGAGGTATAAAATAAACAAAAGGTGTTTTGTTTTTTAAAATTTAGTAGTACGATTCCACTAACAATTATACTTTTGTTTAAAAATAGTAATGTCACTACGTATTATAAAAATAAAAATACAAACAATGATGTGACGCATTAGTGGATCCACCATATAATATAAGAGAAATATAAAGTTACTTTTTTTTTTTTTTTTTTATAAAAATAAAAAATAAAACTAAATGAATGTTGACGCATTACGTGGATCCACGCCATATAATATATAGAGAAATATAAGTTACTTTTTTTTTTTTTTTTGAAAAGAATTTATAAAGTTACAAAAGTTTACTTTTTTTAATTTGACTATGATCTTATATATTGTTGTATGAATGAAATCTAAATGTAGTGATTGATGGTTTCTTACGGAAAAAAAAAAAAAAAAAAGTACGGACTGAATAATATCATTCCGCACCATATATTTAAAATTCTATTTCACTTAATTGTTTTTAAATTGGGTGATAATATTTATTTAAATAAACATAAATTATTAAAATTTTAAAATTTATTTTATAATGATGGTTCAAGTAATGTTTAAATTATGCAAAGTCTTGAATTAATATTTTAAAATTTATTTTATATTTTTTTCTAATTATGGTAATCATATATTTAGTGATATGAACCTTATTTATATTTAGCTGTTGGAAATTAAAAAAATTATTAATGCTTAATGTGAGTATGAGATTTTGACGAATTAGAATTACATTCCAATATTATGTTAAAAGCCTAGATTTGGAATTTGAGGTTTAATTTTTTTACCACATATTATAAGCTCATTTGGTTTCCATAAAAATACAACTTTGCAGGAAAATAACTTTCAAGATCGAAGTATTTTTTCGTTATTTGGTTGTTAATATTTAAAAATTAGTTAAAAAAATGCTTACAATTCTTTTATGTCATAAACTCGTTTACTATAAAATATAATTAATAATAATAAAAATTTTATAATTTAAAAATTTTATTGTTAATATGAAAAAAATGCAATATATATATATAGTAGTATTAATATTATATATATAATATATATATATAATTATAAAAAGTCGCTTAGTGGCCCGTTAGTGTGGCCGTGGTGGTTAAGCCGTCGCTAGTGGCCGATAGTGATGGCCGTGGTGGTAGCCAGCGGTAGTGATCGATGCTGAATGGTAACTGGTGGTAGTGACTATAATGATTAATAAATTAAAAAATATAGATTTATAAGATTTATCTTTTATTCTCTCGAAATTGGTAAGTTATTTTTTTTTAAATAACTTAATTTTTCTTTAATCAGAAAAATATTTTCTATTGACTTATTTTTCTAAATATCTCAAATAATAAAAAATTATCAAAAATATTTTCCTCTAAATTTACGGAAACAGAAGTAGCCATAATTTATGATAAAAGAAAGAATAACTTACTAATCCCATTAGAGCATTTTCCCCAACAACTTTGTTTGTATTCGTTTTCTTTTGGACGTCAATGCCATTTACCGCTAAAGGAAAAAATATTATCAAAAGGATGAGGAGAACTGTAATCGTGTACGCGACACCACATTGGTTTTTATTTATAATTTTCCACCGTCGGATCTCCACTTTGCAGTCACTCATCGACGCAAATAAGTTTGATTGGATTATATTTACTTTAGACGGATCCATCCTCTCACTAATAGAATAAAATCAAAGAAAATATGATATTTTTAAAATTATTTTTTATTTTATCTTTTTTCACCTTTATTTCAATAATAATTTCTATTTTTTATTAATTTGGTTCATGAGTGTCGTCATCGATCTCGTCCAGACAAATCAATCACATTTTATTTTTCATCGATAAATTTCAAGGTCATATAATTGCAACTATAACTCGAATGCTTTATTTGAATGTGTACAAAATAAATATGAGTGAACGTAAATTAGATGGTGAAAATTTCTAAAAAAAGTCTATGAAATTGGTTGACTTTGTTTAATTGTTTTTAACTACATTGAAGTCAACACATTTTATATTTATATTGGTATGTTATATATAATCATAGTAAATTAAATGGATCGATGAAAAATGAAAATTGGACTCACACAGTTAAAATAGCAGCGGAAACAGAAAATCATTTCTCGTAAATTTTTATGGGCATTCTTGCAACTAGTACAACTGTAGGATTCTGTGGCAAAAAATGGAATCACACTCTGCGAGTTACCCTTCACATCCGCAGACACAAACTTCCATTTCTCTCCTTAAACAACAGCAACAACAATATCATCCATATCTGACATCTATCCCTATACCCAAATATAGAGAAAGACAAAAACTTTCCGGGAAATTCTATTACTAGCTTGTAAGTTTTAAATTTCCGAGAAAATGCCTGAGCAAGAGGAAGATAAGTCAAAGGGTAACCAACCTCCGGTTGTTGCCGGAGTTGGAGGAGGAGGAGTTGGGGGAGGAGTTAGAGGAGAGACTCTCATGGACTTGGATCTTGATCTCGAGAGTTCTTGGCCGTTGGATCAGATCTCCTTTCTTTCTAATCCTTTGTCTCCGCTGCTTCTCTCTTCCTCTGACCAGCCTTGCTCTCCTTTATGGGCCTTCTCTGACACTGACGATGAAAGACTGGTTGCTTCCGCCTCTTCCCACGCTACTGTTCCTCCTCTCCCCGCTGCAGCTGGCCTTCGCCTCTCTGATTATCCAATTTTTGTTACATGTTAGTCAGTAGTCACCCCATTTTTGCTTTACTGTTTCAATAGATATTTCTGTTTTACAGCTGATTTTTGACTTTTTCTATTTCTTTATGAGCTCCAAAAAATCTATTCTTCATATTTTTATTTTTATTTTTCTGGGTTCTTGGTTAAATTTGGTTGCTTTCTTGAGTTTCTGATTGGTTTAGTTTCTTCTGTCTGTTCTTTATTTTGTAGTTTTTGTTTTCACTTCGTCGGAAAAATGCTGTGAAGCATTTACTTTTTAAATGCTTGAAATTGAGATATCACTCACCCGAAGTTGGCTCGTTTTAGTCTAAATCCTAGCATATTAGTATGCAATTTTTGAGAGCTCCTTTTATAGCCCCGTACCACTGTTCGAAGCAATGAAACTAAAATTATTAATTACACTCTATTTGTTTTGATAGACTAAGACAACCCACTGAAGAAGAAGAAGCTGAAAAATAGTTGTTGTCAGTTTCTCTTGTAACGATTGTTGTTCGTGTTCAATATGGTACTTAATTTAGTCCGGAGACTTTGTTTCCTCTAACAACAAATTCTCTTTCTTTTACTTTCTTTTGCACATATTTTCTGTCGAAGTTGCTGTTTTTTGAAGTTTGAAATTAAAAACAGGATTTTGTATATTTAAGCAGCCTGGTTTTGCTCATTAATAGTAGCATTTTGTTTCTTGCAGTTTCTCTGATCCGTTGTATCTCACTGAGCACAGTTTGGATGTTGAATAATTTGTTTTTGACTTTAGCTTTTTACCTAACGCAGGTAATACCGCTTCAGTTAATGAAAACCCTACAGAAAATGATGATAAAAGGAAACTTCCTTCTCCTCTTTTGGGATTGATGCCCATTGACAACCCAGATGGATATTGTATAATCAAAGAGAGGATGACACAGGCACTGCGAAACTTCAAAGACTCAACTGAACAACATGTTCTGGCTCAGGTTTGGGCACCTGTAAAGAATGGGGGTCGGTATGTACTGACAACCTCAGGGCAACCCTTTGTAATTGATCCTCATAGTAATGGACTTCATCAATATAGAATGGTCTCTTTGATGTATATGTTCTCAGTGGATGGGGAAAGTGATGGCGAACTTGGGCTTCCTGGCCGTGTTTTCCGGCTAAAGTTACCAGAATGGAGTCCTAATGTGCAGTATTATTCCACCAAAGAGTATTCAAGGCGTGATCATGCTCTATGTTACAATGTTCAGGGAACGCTGGCCCTACCAGTTTTTGAACCTTCAGGACAGTACTGTGTTGGTGTCCTTGAGCTTATAATGACTTCACAGAAGATTAACTATGGACCTGAGGTTGATAAAGTCTGCAAGGCGCTTGAGGTTAGGTTTCTTCTTTATTGTATATATTGAGTCTCACGATTATTCCTGTACTTGATTGAATTAAACAATCTGTTTAGCATTTGGATTCTCTTGGAAACATTGCAATGCTATATATGTATATATGCACATGCAGAGTGGTGAATTTATGTAGTCCTTGGTTAAATTATTGAGATTCCGCAGTCACATAATTTCAGTTGTTATGCAGGCAGTTAATTTGAAAAGTTCAGAAATATTGGATCATCCAGGTATACAGGTGAGCGCTAAAAGTATAATGCATATTGAATATGCAATTAATTCATAAACCAGAAAGATAAATGTTGTATTCTTCTTTCATTTCTTCCCCCTTGTTCTCACAGATGTATACTTGGCACTGCTTTTGAACCAGATTTGCAATGAAGGGCGCAAAAATGCACTAGCTGAGATATTGGAGATATTGACGGCGGTTTGTGAAACTCACAAGTTAGCTTTGGCTCAGACATGGGTACCATGCATGCACCGCAGTGTTCTAGCCTATGGTGGTGGTGTGAAGAAGAGTTGTACCAGCTTTGATGGCAGTTGCAATGGCCAAGTCTGCATGTCCACAACTGATGTGGCATTCTATGTTGTAGATCCTCACATGTGGGGTTTTCGGGAAGCCTGTCTTGAGCATCACTTGCAGAAGGGTCAAGGTGTTGCTGGAAGGGCATTTTCGTCACACAGTGCATGCTTTTGCCAAGACATTACCCAATTCTGCAAGACTGAGTATCCCTTAGTACACTATGCACGCATGTTTGAATTGACTAGCTGTTTTGCAATTTGCTTGCATAGCAGTCATACTGGAGATGATGAATATGTCCTAGAATTTTTTTTGCCCTCTAGCATCTCAGATATTTATGAACAGAAGGCTTTATTGGGCTCTATGTTGGCAACAATGAAGCAGCATTTCCAGAGTCTTAAGGTTGCTTCTGGAATGAACCTTGAAGAGGAGGAAGGATTCATCGAGATTGTTCGAACATCTATGACTGGCAGACTTGATTTGGGACTGGAGTGCATTAGAATACCCCAATCTCCAAAAACTCCCCCTAATACTAATACATTATCAGAGGGGGGACATATGGCCCAGATAGATTCAATAAGGCATCAGTTAGTGGTGGACTTGGCTGTTGTAGATAATGGGGGCAAATTTCCTACTACTCATCCGGATAATAAAGTGAACAAAAGACCATCAGAAAGGAAACGTGGAAAAACTGAGAAGTCAATTAGCCTGGAGGTTCTACAACAATATTTTGCTGGGAGTCTTAAAGATGCTGCAAAGAGCTTGGGAGGTATGTGCATAAATACCATTGCTTGCAATTTTGGTTGGGCCATTTCATGGTGAAATCTGGATAAACTTTGCTGTGGCATATGATATTATTTCTCATAGAAATTCTTGCTTTATACTTTACAGTTTGCCCTACTACAATGAAGCGCATCTGCAGGCAGCATGGAATCTCCCGTTGGCCTTCTCGCAAAATTAACAAGGTTAACCGATCCCTCTCCAAGTTAAAGCGAGTAATTGAATCTGTCCAAGGTGCTGAAGGAGCGTTTGATTTAACTCCCCTTGCCACAAGTCCGCTTCCTGTTGCAGTTGGTTCTATTTCTTGGCCTTCCAATCTGAATGGGTGCAATCAACGGAACTCACCCATCTCTAAATCTCCTGAACCTAATGGTGAAAGGAATGGATCACCACTCTGCAAAACACCGGAAAGTAATGTACATGCTGGGGTTGACGGTCAATTACTAGGAGGTGGAATATTGAGTCATGAGGAACTGGTCCTGCAAAATAGATTTTCGCCTGAGCTAGGTCAGTGCTCGAACAGATCGAAAGCAGGAAGTGGCTCAAGGGAAGAGAGTACTGGCACTCCAACTTCACATGGTTCATGCCAAGGAAGCCCAGCAAATGACAGTGCACCTGTGAAGGATTTGACTGGTTCTCCTGTCCATGAACAATGCAATAAAGTTGGCTGCGCTTCTGAATTGGCATTTCAACCAAAAAGAGAGCTAAATCTGTCAGCTGCTTACACAATACCAGATGCTCTTGTTGTAACAAAAGCTCAAGAACCATTTGGGGAAATGCTAATTGAGGATGCTGGAAGTTCAAAAGATTTGAGAAACCTTTGTCCTGCAGTTGCAGATGCTATTTTAGATGAGCGGGTTCCAGAATCAAGTTGGGTTCCAGAATCAGGTTGGGTAAACCATCAGTGTCCAGATTTATCCATGGCTGCTATTGAACATGCAATGCCACATGCAACAGCCAGGCAAGAAATGAGGAGCATAACCATAAAGGCAACGTATAAAGAAGATATAATAAGGTTCCGGATCTCTCTGAGCTCTGGGATTGTGGAGTTGAAAGAAGAAGTGGCAAAGAGGCTGAAGTTGGAGGTGGGTACTTTTGACATAAAGTACCTGGACGACGATCAAGAATGGGTTTTGATAGCCTGCAATGCAGACCTGCAGGAATGTATCGATGTTTCAAGATCGTCAGGCTGCAATATAATCAGATTGTCAGTTCATGATGTGAATGCCCTTCTTGGAAGCTCCTGTGAGAGCACTGGGGAGTTATGATTAGGTTGTAAATAGGGCAGGTTTAGAACACCAATTTTTGGAGACATAGGATCCAGGAAAAATGAATCCATAAATTTTGGTCCCAAAAAACAAATTGTTTCGAGTTGTAGCAAATTTTCCATGGAATTGTAGAAATCACAACTTCCCTATGTTGTCAGAGTTTCTGGGGCAAGTTCTTTGCAGTCTATATATAAGCAGTTTTATTGTAAGCCTTTCATGCAAATGTAAAAGAATTTGATTTTTGTGCAATATTACAACAATCCATTGCTGAGACAGTAATAAAGCAGAGAACTTGATTATGAGGCAAAAACCACTTTTGGCTTAATACATTTATTGTAGCTCTCTTGAAATAGTTCATGAAATGGAGTAAAAGGAGAAAAACATTGGACTGTTAATATTTCATTAGGGCCAAAACTCAAAATCTTCCTACTTCATATATATATTTCATTTCACGCCCTGTGGATTTCAGAAGCAGTGCCATTCAAAGCTGCAGTGCTTGCTCTTTTCAAATCTCCATTCACAACCACTTCTGATAAGCCCACCTCTCCTTTCTCTTCCCTTGCTGCTATCTGCCTCTTCGTTGATTTGTAGAATACGGCGTACAGTATCAGTTGGGCCAATGCAAATAGAGTGCCCACCCCATTAGGAATCTACTTGATCCAAAAAAAACCCATATAAGCCTGTGTTAATATAAACATGAATTACAATGAAAACATGGGGTTGATTTTTTTTTTACCAAGGATAAAACTTTTTGCATTTCCATTAAAATTTTTATTAAAAAAATGTGCAGAGAAGGAAGGACTACCATGTCTAAAAGAAAATTAATGAAAATAACCTAACGGAAACAGTTATAATTATATGAGATTTTTAATTACTCGGGTTATACAACATAAATATTTTTTACCCTCTTAATAAAATGTATTTTTCGGAAATAATTAAATAGAATTAGGTTAAGCTGAAATTAGGAAGCATGAAATTCGTGTGCTAGAAGTAGGAAGCATCAACTACCTAGTTAATTAGGAGCATGTAAATCATGTTGGTGCCAAATGCATGAATATAAATTACGCTACGGCACATCAATCATGATAAATCATTGTGAACTACCTAAAAAGTTTCCCTCCACCCAATTATTCTTCATTTCCCTTAATCTGTTAGGTCACCCGTAATATCAGTAACTCGTGCATTTTAGGTTTAATTTTAAAATAATCATACAGCGAAACGGTAATATTATGTCAGTATTATAAATTAAAATAATAATAATAAAATAATAATTCTTATAAAAAGTGATTCAGATGGTAAAACATTTATGGGAAAGCTCGGTCGAGAACTACTTATAAACATTTTAGGTATTATGTTTAGTTTTGGTTGTTTTTCCAAAATTCATTAAGAACCAAAAATGAGTAAATGATATTATTAAAAGAGGGAGAGTGAGAGATATAGAGACGAACTTACAAGTATGAAAGGGTCAAAACGGATGATGGCATACGTAGACCAGGCAATACCATTGGCAAATGAAGCAAATGATAGGAAGAATGGCATATACTCCACACTTTTTGTTGTTATTACCGTTTTCTGCATTTGAAAATTAAAAAAAAAAAAAGACAAAAAACCTTATTAAGGTAAAATAATCTCCTAAAGTTAATCTTTCCATTTATAAAAAAATATAAGCAAGTAATTAAATGCATAACCATACATGACAACATCAACAACATATATATTTATCTAATTTCCAATTAAAGTATATGAGCATGCATTACCTAAATAACAAAATACCGTTTATGTTCCAAAATATAAGACATTTAAGGTTTCTGCAGTAGAATTAAAAAAAAAAAAAACAGTTAATTCTTCTAAATTATAACTAAACTAAGAGGAACTTGTGAAAATAGTTATTATATCAAATGTAAATAAGGGTAATATTAGAAAAATATTATTTATTACTCTTTAAAATACTTAAAACGATTTATATTTTAGAACAAAATAATCATGCAAAAATAATTTATATTTTGGGACGAAGAGAGCAGTGGTTAGGTTAAAGAAGAGATATATAATTAGCAGAAATATTTACTTAAAATCAAAATTCATATGATTTAGGAGATGACTAACCATGACTGCTAATGGAGAAGCATACATCATGACATTAAAGCATACGCATATAAATCCCACAATCATAGATCTCTTCTTGGTAGTGTGAGCAAGAGTTAGAACACAAATGGCAAGAACAGCAATGAATATGATCTCCAAAAGCACTATCAGAAGAACTTTAATCCTCTTTTTCTTGTCGGAGTAGATAACGAAAAGGATAATATAAACAAACTCAATAGCTGTTCCTGATCCATTAATGGTCACAACCAGCAGGCTGTTTGGGTGCACCAGAGGGAGACCATATAGAATCCATACCATACAGTTCACTAAGGTTGCGAGATATGGGATCGGAGAATACTGCTCTACTGCCTTTTTCTTCCATATCTGTATAAATGTTGGCCTGAAAAAAATTATTACAACACAACAGTTAATATATGCTTTTCTCCTTTAATTATTCTTGACCTCTTTAATTATGCTTTTCTCCTTTTCTTGATTCTAATTTACAGTTTAGCTTAAAGAAAAGAAAACAAAAATGAAACTGTGAATGTGTGTATATGTTTTTTTTTTTTCCTTCGTTTTTCTTGTTGGGTACAAAAAAGAACCATCGGCCATGGCTTACACTGGTGATAGGAATAAGAAGAGGGAGATGATATTTCCTGCGAATAATTAAGCAATAGAAAAACCCAGGTTAGAGAAACTTGAAGATTCAGTAAAAATGAATTCGAGGAAGTTAAAGAAACTACAGATTACAAAGTTTATGTCGATGTCAAGATACTTAAAAGAGAAAGGAAAGAAAGAAAGAGATCGGCAACCTAGGACTCCAACCACATTTCTAGCAGTATCTGAAGAAACCATGGCTCTTTGAAGTGAGAAGAAGAGGAGAGGAGAGCAAGACGAAAATGGATTTTGCTTGTTCGAAATCCTTTATCCTGAAGAAAGAATACAAGGAGAGTGCTCGTATATAAAGGACGAATTAAGGAAGGGTGCAATCAGCATCTAGCTATTCACTCACGGTTAGGCTGTTCCTCTCTTTATTTTATTTTATTTTTTTTAATTTAAGAAAAAAATAAGAGGTGTAACAGGCCAAGATAATGTTTAGGCTACACATAATTAGCGAAACTCTCGTAGTCGAGACTCGAGAGGACTAACTTGAGACCTCTCACTCTCTACATATTTTTATAAAAATTGACAAAACCAATTAAATAACACTCATTCGTGCTATTAGATTTAATAATTTTTGATTTTTCACAATAATTAAAAAAATATTCAATTCTATTCATCTAAGAAAAGAAAAATAAGAAAATTAATTAAATTACTCTTTAATTAATGCTTATTTAATTGAGAAAAAAAATTTAGTGTTAAATACTTAGATAAGGATAAGAACAATATATAAATAAATAAAAGTTGAATCTCCTTTTGGATTTAGTTTTGCTTTTAATTTGTAGATATTGCAGTTTAATATAGTAATATTAATTATTAATTATTTAAAACATTGAAAGAATTAAAATTAATAATAGCATTAATAGAACTATTCTTATTTAAAAGTTAAAATAGTGAAACTCTTCATTTAGTAGGTTATAATTAATTAATAGAATAAACCAATAATAGCAGGTGACTATTTGTTAGTTTTTAAACATGCTAATCATTTATTATTTCTATTAATTATAATTGTATAAATTCCAGCTCATAAAGATGCTCAATAATTTCATTAGTCCCTATCCAAAAAATCCATTATCTTCTAACAAATGTTTTTTTATGATTAATTAATTAAATCAATTAATTATTTAGTTATAAATACTATACAAAATCTATAATTAAGTCAAGCATTTATAACTCTCTAACACAAAAAATCATACAATCAAATATTATAATATCTAAAATTGCAAGAAAATAGGGTTTTATCTTTAATGTCTTTTCTTTTATAATAATATATTTTTTTTATTAAATTATCTTATATATTAAATTGGTATGTTTGATATAATAAATGAGCAGTTTATTATATTCCACGTAATGGGTCGGAACATGGCTAGAGTTAATGCTAAAAGATTTATAAGAGACATATGAAATATATCTCTTATAAAGAATGTGGATATAATAAAAAAGAAATAAAATGGGAATAGATATATATAAGTCTTAGACAATGAACAGCAAAAAAATAAAATAAAAATAATTACTCGTAGCCATGATTCTTGCTCTTACGTTTTGTAAAAGATGAGTGAAGAGTGTGATTTCTCGAAATTCGGAGTCGTCGCCATAGAAAAATTATCATATTTAATAGAAAAGTTACTCTTATTTTGTAGTTTATAATATTATTTCGGTCCATTGAGTCTTTACGTATAAAAAAAGTTTTAAAATTTAGAATTTTATAATTAAGGTTTATCCTGTGACAAGTAAAAACAAATGAAGTGTCACTTGCATTGCATGGCCTGCATTAACCAATCAAAACTGTAATAACACATGGCAATAGTTTTGTCCTAACTATCATCAAGAAAGTGAAGGAAAAATGGCACTGCATTCAAGATTTTCAAAACCCTAGCTCTCGTTTCAGACAATGACTGTGGGGAGATAAACGACCAATGGAGATTTCAGAATTGAAGTCCAGCTTGTCCAACTTCATATAAGGTTAATATGTGTGTCAGGTCAGTTACCTATTGCGGTTATTTTTTTGGTCTGCCATTAAAACGAAATGCCAAAGCAACCTGTTTTTAAATTGAAAGTCTGGTTTGGATTTTGCAGGTTTTGGAAAGGCCAACTGTTTAATTCTATAATTTTCATATTTAGATAAGGAAGGTAGGGCCATTCATTAATTCCTACACAAATTTAATAAACATTACTTCTAAATTTAAAATAAAATTATTAAATGGAGTAATAATATAATTAATTTCGTGAAAATTTCAAGAAATCGAGTGTTGAATTCTTATGGATAGAGAAAATCTTTGCTGACAACGCTTCTTTTTATGGATTTGACGTGGGAATGTGAAATGGGAATGGATAGGCATGCATTTAGAACAGCTCATTTGCACACAAGATTTTCTTCCATTAAATTGCTCAGAATAAGCTCAGGTTGCAGGGATTTTCCTTTGACTTTTCAGAATACACAACCGGATAAGAATTGGTGATGGATAATTCAAATACCGAGTCTAATTGAAAATTACTTCTTCCGTCGTAAAATATAAATGAGAACTCTTATTCTTATAAATTGAATTAATGGTTTATAAATAACACATTTGATTCCAAACAAAGGAATAAGTAATTCTTTGGGGGCCAAAGTCAGATTAATTTTGGGTTTAAAATGGGAAGAATGTACAAATTATTCCTTGATGGAAGAAGAGGCCAAGAGCAACAAATTGTCATTTCCTAATGGGCATGTCACCATTGCACTTAAGTACCCAACTCTTTCACGTTTCCACTAATTTTTCCTTGTACACCATTCATCATTTTAATTATTCTCCATTAATCCATTACAATTTTGAATAAATGATATTGAAATACTTTTAGAATAATAAAATAATAAAACTCGACAAAATTAAATTGAAATATTTATTTATTAATAAGTTCTGATTAAGATCTGTACAACTAATAGCTAACAACTGTTAAAATAGTTTATACCGAACAGACTCTAAACGGTAATAAGATTATATTACACTTGTGACGTATATATTAACTAAAAAAAGGGGTTAGTGTTGGTCCTTAATTTGTTTTTTATAATAAATTCACCAATGCAAAAGCTTTATTAATAGCTAGTAGATAGGGATTTTGTCAATGAAGATCAACTGGTGGGAGAAAAAATGCAATCCTTAAATGTCAAAATTTGCAGTAAAATGAACAAATTCCTGTCTCCACTCTCGATCATCTGAATGTTCTGTTTGTCTAATGAATCAATTCTCAATACTTAGATGTCTGAATAGTAAAAATGAAAGTGAAAGATTGACTCACGAGTGATATAGGGATGACCAAATAACAGTGGCATTATGCTTTCTTTTCAATTTCCAATAACAAAAATGGAAATAATGAAAGAAAATGAGGAGACTGTCAAGTCACAAGCATGCTTCTGCTTCAGGAAAGTACACGTCTCACCTCACTTGCCAACTTCACTTTTTTTTTTTAGTGGGTATTTATTAGGTAATTGCAGTTTTGTTTTTTATTTTTAATTTTTTCAATGATATTATTCTCCTCGAGGAAGGTAAAATCTCTTTTAAGTGAATTTTCTTGATACGTAAAGTTTCAAATCTAACCCAAGATTAGTTATTGTTTTAGTTTTTGCTAATACAAAACACGTATACGAATAAATAAATAAAGTGGTAGATAACATATTCTTGTTCTTCTTATTTTTTTTTTTTTCAATTCTTGTTTTTCTTTAATTTGGAAAGTTAGACACAACGGGGGCCTAACTTTGTTTGCTCTGGACATGGTTGGGAAACATGCAGTTTTGTTCTCTTTTTATTTTCCGTCAAATGATTTGGAATATATGCGATTACAATGTATTGTTTGTTTAATTAAAACGGAGAAGATTCAAATTTGGATATATTATCAGACCGTATATACATTTATCATTAGACTATGCTAGTTTGCTCCAATGTTCTTTCTACATTAAAGACGAACAATTGTTCAAGAAATTAACATCTTCCAGAGACAATAATGGCTACAAAAGAATCTTTAATTTACATTATGATAAGGAAACATATATATAAATGTTTAATTAACAGTTCAAGATTTGAATGAAGATGGGCTGAGCCCACACAAACATAAAGCCCAAACAATTTAATTAAGCTCGGCTTAGTCCAATTTCTTTTTTTTTTTGGCTTTTAAAACCTAATTACCAGATAAGATAATTATGATTTATGGATGTTTAGTGATGAAATTGAAAATGGCTTAAACTTATCTCCCAGGTAATGAAAGAACATGAAATAAATTCCAACTGAACTGATTAAATGCATTGTACTGTGTAAGGATTCATAAACACCAGAACTTCAAAATTTATTGGCTCAAATGGGCATCCATTCCTCTTCTCAGCGAACTTAGGTCACAACACAGACAATCAACAAAAACAATGAAATGTAGCAAACAAATCAGAGTTTCAAAGCTCAAGAAACAGAAAAAGAAAAACACCAGATTAAACATTGACACTATACATGAGCTATGTTACAGAATGTGCACGTGTGGATAAATATAGGCGTTTAACAAATGTTCAAATTCTAAAACCAAGGCCAGGCCATCTCTTTGTCGACTCTTTCTTCGTCCTCTTTGAGTTGTTATCTATGAGATGTTCCAATGATTTTGCCTTTTTGTTACGAGCCCTGCCTGCTTCTTTCAGAAGCTCAGCTAGCCTATTCTTCTCATCTTGGAAATCAGGATTTGCAATCCCAAGCTTTTCCTCTCTTAATTTAAGAACATATTCTAAGATCTCAATTGCATCGTCAACCCTGCAATGAAATAGAATTTAATATCAGAACAAAAGTATACTTTAGCTTTAAGCAGACTCAAATTGCTAAGAGATTATAAGAGACAGGTTACAGAACCAGTAAGGAAGCCGTGTCTTAATGGCATGTAGTTTCTTTCGTCATTTCAACATTTATCGAAACTAGAAAGAACCCACTTCATAAGATTTACCAAAACTTGGGCACTAAAAAAATTCTCATCTAATAGAAAATAGAGAGGTAATAGGGAAAGGAAGAAAAAATGAAAAGATTTTCGTGATTAGAAGAAGTCCATGCAGATGGAATGCAAGAAAACTGACCATAGGCTACAAGTTCAAGTAAAAGTGGAGTTGTGAAAATGTATAAATTACCTTCCCATAGCATCATAGGTTGCCGCAAGATTGCTATATACTCCAAGGGTATCTTGATTGCAAGGGCCACACTCCTGCTCCAGTATGGCTCTTGCTTCTTCAAATAACTCAGCAGCCTCATCTATCTTGAACAACTGTACACAGGCCAATCCCATCTGGTTCAGCACAACACCAAAGAAAGCTGACTTTCTCTCTCCACTCGCTCTAAGTTTTGCTACAGCACTCTCAAATGAGTTCCTTGCTTCTTCATATCTCCCAACCATGTAAAACATCACTCCCATTCGTGCTTCTATTCCTGCAATAGTGCTTTGCTGTCCTGGTTTATCTTCCAACAACTTCATTGCCTTCTGCAACAGTTTCAATGCCTCCTCGGGTTCATCCACAGACTCGTATATGGCAGAAATCTCAGTCAACCCACCAGCAATCTCTTCTGCTGTGGTTCCGGGCACAGGTTTGGCATATATCCTCTGAGCATTTTCACAATAAGACTTCGATTCTCTGAGCTTTCCTGTCCTGTTATATAGGTCGGCAAGGCGGACGAAGACAGAGGCAACTGAAGGGTGGTTGTCACCCTTTGAAGACTTGAACACTGTGAGAGCCTTTTGGTAAGAGAAGATGGCCTCATCAAAGCGGCACAGTGACATGTAAATGTTTCCAATGCTGACATCAATAGCAGCAACCTCATTGTCTTGTCCATTCGCAATCATTGCCATGCTGGCAAGAACAAGGTGCTCAAGAGCTGATTCGTAATCTCCTTTTGCTTCACATATAAGGGCCATCAGTCGGCGGTCAGCTGCCTCTTCAAGAGAGGCGGGTTCACTATGTGCGCGATGAATTTCAAGAGTTTTCTTGCACAAATCTTCTGCTTTATCAAAATTCATGGCTTGAACATTGGCCTCAGCTAAATACCTGGCATTTCCAAATTAATTTACTTAAGTTCCAAAAATGATGAAACGGCAGACCACTCATACAAATACTACAATATCTTGCACAAAACTCAAGATGGCACGTATGACAGGAATGCGACATTTTTTAAAATATCTTCTCAAGAGAGTGGAAAAAATATTCAAATTTTCTAGTATCATGTGGTCACACAATTTTTCCGTAGTATATCATGCTAAATGTTTGATGGATCTACCTGAACCTAACTTTCGCTATTCCATCCAACTACTTTCTCCTTTTAGGCAAGAAAAGAAATGGGCAATAATTTTCAGTCGACATGTTCAGACTAACAGGGATCACTGTTTCCAAACTTCTCGGTTGTTTCCTCAAAATTGCATCAATAGTCCATATCATTTACCCACTCACATATTTGTGCAAAACAATTTAATTATTATAATCATATGCATATACATACACATGAATATTTAGAGACAATGGATTTGATAAACACCAAAATCAACAGCATACATTAAACTCTACTCTTTTATCGTTATTACGCTGAATTTGACTTTCTAAAACGACCAAAATCACAGTATACATAATAGGAAAGGCCAAAATAGTTAAAACAATAGATATAAAAATGGTAACTTTTCAAGAAATCCAGAACAAATTTCCTATTTTGGCTTACAGCAGCAACATTAAGCTAAAAATTTACCAAAAATAACAAGCATTATTAAAAATTTTCTCTAAATAGGAATATTAATTACTCACATGGAATAAACAGCCAAAACACACACAAATCCAAATCTAAAAAATGCCAAACATAAACTACGCCGCACACATACACACCTGCAAGTCTCTCCAACCCTGGGATCAGTCTCTCCCAAAGCCTCGATCTGAATCTTAAGCCCCTCTTCGTAAGCGGCAATGGACTTATCAACTTGTCCAAGCATCGAGTAAGTATCCCCCAGCTGCATATACCCAGAAAACGCCGCAAGCGCATGATCCATTCCTCTAGTCAAATCCGGCACCTTTATAGCTCTCTCAAGAACCGGCACAGCCTCGTCGAACCTCCCTAAACTGCAATAGATAGCCGCCAGCACGTGCAAGCTCATAACAAGGTCCAAACTCGGCTCTCCATCGACGGCGCATCGCTCAAAAGACTTAGAAGCTCGAATTGCGTAATCTAAAGCCTTACTAGGACCCTCTCCAGAGGCAATGGTATCACGAGCAAGCTTTAACAGGAATGGACCGAGATCCGGATTGTCAAGGGAAGCGTCAGCGAGGAGAAGCGGGTTGGGGGAATCAGGCGGCGGTTTCTTAGCAGAGCGAGTAGGAGAAGGTTTCGATCGGGAAGGAGAAGGAGATGGAGGCTTCTTGTTGGGCGTTCTGGGAACAACGGGTTCGGGTCGGGTTTGTGACTGTTGCTGGGCTTGAGATTGGATCTCGGGAACTGAGATACGAAGAGGAGGCGCCTCTGGTGGCGTCTTGACCGAGACAAGACCCGGCATCTTTGTTCTCTTGGTTTTGCTTTGGGATCGGAAATTCAATAGAGAATGAGTGTTACAGAGAAAGAAATAATAGAGAGCAAAATGAGGAAAAAGAGGTATTTGGATGATTAGGGACAGGCTACCAATAAAGGAACTGACAGGAAGGTTTCAGATGAGATGCTTTCTCTCCTCTGTCACTGCTCTGTCTTCTCTTTCTCTCTGCTCTGGTATGGCTAGGGACGTAACGGACGGGACAAAATGGTAATTTTAAGTGTAGTTAGTTGAGAATTAAGGGGATTATTAGTGACATAAGTGGTCTTAGTATTTTACTCCATATGGTTTGGGCTTTAGGATAAAAAAGGTCATTAGATTACTTCCTGTCTGTTTAGAACTGAGTAGCGAGATCTTACGTGTGTGTCGGCTGTTAATAAACGTCAGCGTTTTGTTAGGACGAAATCAATCGTGTAACATGTGTACACGTGCTGAGATCTCGTTGGTGCTTTGCTCAAGTGAAAAGACTATTTTGGCTTTTGGCTAAAATACTCTCTCTCCCATTCGCCAAAAAGGCAAAACCTCCTTACGGTAAAAGTAGGTGAATTATGAAAGCTTTGTGCATTTCTTCAATAATTACATTTAAGTCAAATGTGCTATCCTCTTAAACTAATATTTTGACATTAATACTCGAGATAACTTGATCTAATGATTAACGCCCTGTAATTACAAAGTCGAGTTGTAGAATTAATATTTTAAAAAGTCTTTTAATATAGTCGTTTTTAAGTTTAAAAGAGATTAATATTTTATATAATAATTTAACATAGAAGTGAAAGGACACTTTTAATAATAAAAAAATATTTTGGTTTACAACTCTTATCAAACAAAAAGTTAAACTCTATTTTTTACCTCTAAAAATAAAAGTTATTTTATAATGAAATTGAAATAATTTGAAAAGTTCAAATAAGTATAATTAGAGCGTGATTATTTAAATTAACATAAATTAAAAATAATATGATGAAATTTATAATCCAATTAAATGGAGGAAACCATATAGCATGTAAGTGGTTTCCTTTCATTTAAATAAATGGTCCAAATAAATTAAATTTACTAGTAAATTTTACATTTTTTTTTTGTCCATTTGGGGAAAGGTTCTAAATATTGCTCTAAATGCTTCGTATATTATTAATTTAATTTTAATAAATGATATTTGAAATATTATAATTCTTACTAATTTTGGCCATGATCTTTGAGATGATTAAAGTTTCTTTACTCCATCAAAATATTTATTTTCTTTAGTAACTTTCTCTTTTTGTCTGTTTATAAACATTTATTAAAAAAAAAAAAAAAACCAAATCTTATATATGTTTAATTGTCTACTTAGAACCATCTCTAAAAATGGTGGAAACGCGGAGTAATCAAATTAATTTATCCCTGCTACATATTATAAAAGAAATAATGAAAAGAAAAAACTAATTGAGAGATTTAACAAAACTTCAAAAAGTAGTAACAGTGTCCAGCACTTTCATACACACAGAGTTACACATTTATTCATACATTCATATGATCCAAACCCACTGTAAAATACTAATCTCATAATCTATGCATAGAAAGAGCTATAAATATATAGTTTATTGCAGTACTAAGCCCTTATACATGGCAATGATTCTAGAACAGGTGGATATATAGTATGTTGTTCTTCAGCGGTTGCCACCACCAGGTCTCTTTGGTGGTTCATGTTTGGGATTAGCCTTCTCACCTTCATAATCCAACCTGACATCAATCTCTACCACCTTTCTCATCATTCTCTTTTTCATTTGAGCAATATTGGCCTGTAAATCATACAATTATTAGATATTCTCTGCAGGTTGGCACTTAAAAAAACTCGCTTTTAAGGCTTAATTATCGTTAAGTTGTTTGTTTAAATGTTTAACTCAGTTAATTACCTTGAGTGGTTTTGCATGATTCATGTGTTGTGCAGCTCCCAAAACTTGGCCTGCGAGAGAAAATGGAAACTTTGTGTTAATCATATAATGAATACATAGCAAACAAGCAAGAAATGGAGATGAGAAATGGCTAACCTATGGATAAATCAATGAAGAGGAAGAGGAAAAGGAAGAGAAGAATAAGAGATATAGCTTTTGTTTGAGTACCCGCCATGAGAAATTGTTAATAGAGAGTGAGTAGAGAATGTGTCGGATTTATATTGGGTAAAAAGTGGGACAGATTAAAGTTCATAGTGCTGGGTGCAAACTCTACTCAAAAGCTTTGTAGAAACGATGGCTGAAAATGCAATACCCATTAGCAAAACACAACAAAAACAAAGTCAAATAGCACTTAATTATTTCTGTCACCTCAGGGATCCAAGGATTTGCCTCCTGTCCTCCAAAACCCATTGTTAGGTAGCAATCAATGTACCTTGCATGGCTCAAGCTCTATACACCTATTGCCTAATATTTCTCTACATATTGACATTGATGCTCCATGTATATATTTCCATTGGACCCCCTATTATTACTACTCTTTTAATTCATATTTTAGCTAAGTGGTGTCTTTATCAACAACATGAGCCATTGACACAAAGCCCAAGTCCTGCTCATTTCACATCTTAAATATTTAATGCTTTAGAGAATGGTGCTCTTCATCTTGAAACAGAGTGTTTATATTTAATAAATCAAGATGGGAAAGAAAATAACAGAGGATATTATAAAGGAAATCATTACAAGAAGAATTAGCAAGTCAGATTAGGTGAACCAATAGGGAATGGCACTCTTAAAATAGACAGCACATTTCTAAATTTACGCAATTAAGCGTCAATTATGTCTAATAACCTTCCTTTTGACTAGATAAAGAAATCATTATTCTTTGTTATGGTGTATTCAGAACAACTAAATTACTATTAAGAACACTAATTCTATGTTCCCCCACTATTAGAGGTTGTTAGCCAGCTAAATTGCAGATTTTACCACTACCATCACCATTAGAAACTTGAAGCCAACTGATTGTCACACACAAACATTGCACAAAGACATCCCACATTATAAGCAGGTTCTTACACTAACTATTTATTTCCATGGTTTGAACAAATGACCTCTAAATTATAATGGAATAACCATACTATTACACCAATATTCACTCTCAAATCTATAATCCATAATTTAGAAAAAAAATTAAATTAATTCATACTTTAAAGAGAAGATTGTCAACAGATTGTCGAATACAGATAACTAAACACTCATTATGTTTACTGTTCATGTGTCATATATTGTAACATTGCCTCTAAATTTGCTTTTAGGGTCATATTGTATGTTAATGGACAAAGCTTATCACCTCTCTCCCATGAAGAGGGGGACCCTAGATAAAGAATATGAAAACTCATCTGCCCTTCTTATTTTCTTGGCACTCAAATCATGATTTTCGGATGGTGGCAGTCATATCACAATAAGTCACTGCACCTTCTTTAAGTTGACTACCCAACCTTCCCCATCTTTTTCTTCCTCAAAATTTAATCCTCTCTTTTTAGCAAGATTTAATAATAGCTTAAAACACCATAAATCTATCTCCTTTTTAGCTTTATAGACACAACATTATTTTCAACAGTTCTTTGTCTGGACCATTGTCCTTTAAGTTGTGACTTTCCAATCCACAAAGACTTTCTATACATGAATATAGGAAAAAAAAATCATTCATGCTTCATGCTATGTTTGATTACGTCCTTCTATGGATACAAAAACAACTAAACATCCTTTCCTAGGATTAAATTTTTAGAAATTTGATTATGAAGTATGTGGATTTCTTTTGTTGGTTTACTTTGTTTGCAAGTCATTTGTATGGTAACTAGTTGTATTCTCTCCAATGATTTTATTAAGAGAAAGAGAGTAATATACCCGAAAGGTGCCCAAATTGGCATAACAACTAAGTTAGCCACATCATTAGAGAAGTTAATCTGCTAGTGTCCTGGCTGCAGATTTACTTAGTTGGATTTTTTTCTTTCCTTTTTGCCTTTTATGATTATATACTACTTTTCTTATCGACTTTCTGAGCTGTATTGGTCATACCTTAATATATTTTTTATTTTTTTTATTTTTTTGGGTATGGCCAGAACATAATGAATTCTAAAATTATCAGCTGATAATATAAGAGAAATCAGGAGGTTATTGGGTACCGTGTAACTCAAAAGGTATATGGTTTCCTGATGTCAAAGCAAAATTAACCTGTGACAATAGGTTTTGTGCTGGCTAGATAAAAGGCCAACAATCAACTCATTAAGTGCTGGAGCATTATTATTATTACAGCATTATCTAAAACACCTAAAGTTATGATAATTAGCACATTTGAAACAAGAACATATGTACATGATGCATCTATTTTGCACAATTACTTTCGTGTTAAAATTGTCAAACTTATCTCACATAACAAAAGCATTCACAAATATCAGCTAGTAATGCTTGAGAAAAATAATCTCAGGATAAAATTAAAATAAATGAAAACCAATTTGGAAAAAAGAAAAAATGAAGACAACTTAAGAAAGAACTTTCTTTTAGAATCAAAAGCTCACAAGGGTTATGGACTTATGGGTTAATTAAGCCCCTACAGAACCTTTCATGAGTGGAAAACCCTTATTATCTGAAAATTATATTGATACCTGGAAAATCCTGAATCTTATCTGCATTTAATATACAGAGCATTTACAAGAATATAGCAGACAATAGACACTGAATAAGAAAAAGGGGTATAGTTTCCTAAGGTCAAAGCAAAAAAAGATTCAACTTGATGCCACAGACTTTGGTTTTAGCTCTAAAGGAGGACAACATAAAGTGGTCGGCCATTATATGATTTAAATACTCAGAGGCCAGAGACCCTTGCTTGTAAGTTTAAGCTTTTAGATTATGAGTGTATTTTATTAATAATGTTGCACAGTGTCATTCAAAAATGTCAAACAAAAAGTATCTTCCACAAACATATTAGCAGTTAAAAATGGAAACAAATCCCATTTATCTAATTAATTTGCTTTGTCGAGAGGAGGGTGGAGCTTACTTACCCATAAGTGGAGGTGGAAGGAGTTGACAAAGCTTATCCATTTGAGAGAGTGACAGATTGCATGGTGAATGGCGTACAAAACGATCGTACCAGTCCAAAATGACCTCGTTCAAATGCCCAATCCGAAACTTGTGTATTGATTACTTCTTTCAGGCATTCTGTCAACTACTAAACTCCAGCAACTTCCGAATCAATTTGTTCAGTAATGAGATTTCTTGAATCTCGAATGGCAATACAGAGCTAGCTAATAGCTACTACAAAGATAAATCTTGTGGTCTAACCATCATGCATGATAAAACCCAGCTCAATAACCAGCGACCGTAGAATACACGTCACCCGACTCCGGTTAAAAAATAAAACGAGAGCCGGGTTGCGTTCAACTATGGCCAAATCCAAGGTAAAGCAAAGCAAAATACTTGAGCAATTGACGCTGAGCTACAACTAATAACCAGACGCATCCGCGCACGGTCCCAGGCGGTTTTTTTTTTTATTATTTTTTTTATTTTTAAATCTTTATATAATTGTGATGCAACTTAAGCTAACGAATAAATTAAATAGTAAAGTAACCTTAATAAATTATTTTAAAGTTCAATTTAAACTTTATTTTTGAATAAAAAAAAGGTTCTAATTGCTATATGAACGATAATAAAATTTGATATATAAATATTTAATAATATAAAAGGCATCTTAAAATTAATTATCTATAAAATAAATAATAAGTATTATTTTTCTGAAAAAAATAAATATTAATTATTTCTATTAAAATTGTACTGTTAATATTGCTAACAAAGTAAAATAAAAAATAAAAAAAAATGAAGAAGAAACAGAACCAAGAAAGTAGCTAAAGTCTAAAGCAATATGGCTGAATCATCAAAAACTTCAACAATTACTCAAACACAAGGAATTCAGGTTAAACAATAGCTGAAGTAATATGGCTGAACCCTGGCCAAAGCTATAAACTAATCTGAACCCTGGCCAGCAGGAACTGAGATTTCATTCGCATCAATAAAGAGTACCAAAGTGCTACGTGCTAGTGTGATACTAGAAGTAAAAAATTTATCTTCATGCCAAGTGGAAATGTACAAAACAATATGAACTATGAAGCCAACCACTTCAAAAATGTAGGCAAGGTAACACCTCAAAATAGCTCGGTCAGGGTAGGGGGAAATCATTAAAAATGTGGCTAAAGAGAGAAAGAGAGTACTGAATTATGTACTACTGCAAGTTATATACATGAAATGGACGTTAAAGTACCAAGATTTGCCTTGGTGGTGGATATGAGATGAAGCTTCGTCAACCGCAGGCAAAAGCTGCCCAAGTGTTTGCATCATCTAACATCAAAGATAGTATATCATCTCCAAACTCTAGTTTGGCTCGAAAAAGATCATCATCTGACATTTGCCTCACAAAACGAGTGAAGCTAATCCAATTATGCCCTTCAAACATGTGCTTGTCCATTCTCACAAAGTTGAAGGAAAAGGAAGCGTTTTTCAGGCCATATGAGTAGAACTTTCTCATCTTTAGCACCTGTTGAAACGATTTATGATCCCAAGTAGGAGCAGAATTTTCGCCTTCCACAGGGATACGACAAATCCTAGCAGACCATAACAACTGCCTAAGAAAATCTTCTGGACTGCTTAATGGGTTCAACTGTTTCTCTTCCATATCAAGCTTTTCAAAACCTGAGCAGCACAATGTAAATCTATACCTACTGAACATTTCAGTAATTGGAAGGAACCCATCTCTAGCCGAAGTATTATAGTAGCCAGCTGTTAACTCAGATGGATGAGACTCTATGCCATAATGCCAGTGTATCCCAGCCACTTTCGCAGATTTATTCATCTCAATACCACGAAAAATGTTCTCAACATCCATGCATATCCTTTGCCCATGAAGCAGTAGCATCCCCGAGTACCACTCAAGAAAAAATTTACCATAGGGTGTGTTCCAAGATCCATCATTTCTTCTGAAAAATTCAGAATTCTCAGGATCTTGAATCAAACTACCAGCACCAATTGGGCCTCCACTTCCCCATTCATGCATTCCAACTTCATGAGCACAAGCATGGAGAGATGCAAGCATATACTGTTTGGAGAAAAAAATATATTAAACCAATGATTTGATTGGTTGGGGTGGTTGTAAGAGCAAAGGGTAATATGGTTGAAACAACCTACTCCAAGATTGCTAGAGGTTTACTCACGATCTTGTAAGTAGCTCAGTTATATGCATACCTTATCATAGCACTGAAACTCTCCAAGTTCACGTGAATGCCAAGCCCAAGCAAGCTTCTTTGATGGGCAGGAAGGATATCTTAATTCACCTGCAGGACCCATCCCAACTTGGATTCCCTATGACATTTAAAAAAAAAAAAAAAAAATCACTATAAAGAAAACACAGCTTTGCACATCATGCTACCTGCACTGTATAAGTTTCATCTTACCGCAATGACACCACCAAGTAAAGGCCTGAAAGTATCTCTGAAGTTCCTCATAAAATCTGCATAGGCTTGGATTGGTGATCGTCCCCTTAGAACAGGAAGAGTATCACACCCTAGGGATATGTATTCCTTGTTCCTTCTTCCAAACCTATCACAGTAAGCTAAATCTGGATTTTTATCAATCTCTTCAAGCACCCATCGGGGAAGAGGAACCCTTCAATGTATAAAATAAGTTTCAGAATTACCAAAACATTAGCAGAACAACAACTAAAGTTTAGTAACAAGTATCAAATTGAATCTGTGCAAAAAACCAGAACCATGAGTAGGAACATGGAATTTAAAAAGCATGGAGATTTCTAACAATAAATAAATCAAAAGCATATTTTATAAACAAAAATAAGGTAAAAAAACTTAGACTCTTGATGCCCACACTGAAATAATGTATGCTCTAGTAATCAAATGTAGTAATGCTTCAAAAGCACCCCAAAAACAAAGAACTAGGCATAATGGCATACATTGTATGAGCGCAAGTATACTGAAGGGTACATATTGCTGCTGGAAGAACCTCAATACTCAGGTGTTGTTTAAAGCCAAAAATGACTGACATGATCAAAACGTCTAAAAGACTAAAAACACTGGTATTGTAAGACTTATTACACTAATGAAGAATATCAAGCACTTATATCACCAGGAACCATATAATAACCTATATGACATCTACTATCTCATGTTTCAATTATTTGTGCTTGAATATATGGTGCACAAAGTAATCGTATAAGAAAAAAGAATTGCAGAGATACTCAAGATGAACACATTTTCATTGGATAAAGAAGAGAGAGGAGTACTCTGCTGCATTGCCAACTTTAAGATCAAAGATACATTACCGATCAATTTATTTACTGTGGAAGATTAAGTTTTATGGATAGCCATATGTGTAATTAGGAACTCCCTAAAAAGAAATTGAAGATATCAAATTATGAGCTCCAATAAATTAAGCATTCTAAGAGAATTCATGATAAATGCAGCAGAAAATTTTCATAAGTGCACAAAACTCCAACAAGGATTTCTAAGGAAAATTTATTTAAAGTATAACTCACACATTAGCCCCCGTTTTGGAATCTACGCTAGGGAGTGTCTCAATACAGAAATTTAACAAACGCGTAAATATTCCGAATATATATATATATAAAGCTTAAAACAGAATTGAATTGACAAAAATAGCAAAGAAAAAGTAAAAAATGCCAATATCACCAAGATGAGTAGGCACATTGATATCGCGATTAACATTAAAAGAGAACTCGGATAATAAAACAAAGGTTTCGATGAAATTAATCAAGACCTACCAGTACGGATCTTCAGGTCCATTTCCGCACTGGTGAAAGGCCAGGACAGCCCTCACCTTCAAGCCAGACTCCTCCGCCATCTCCACAAGTTCTAAATATGGTTGCCAATTGTAAACCTGAGGGAGGTCCCTCTCCACCAGGCCCCACCAAACCTCTATTACCACGCCCTCGACTCCGGATGCGGCCAGCGCTTTCAACGAGTGGAACATGATCTTTTTCCTCCGAACCTTGCCCTCAACTTCCACTGCGCCTACGGGAAGCATCACGAACACCGACGATCCCTTCTTCTTACTCTGCTCCGCTCCAAATTGCTTTGGCATCTCGTACAGGTTGAACTCGTCGCCGTTGTCAGGAGAAACAGAGCCGCCAGCTCCCGAGGATTTTGAGTTGACGCGCGAGGAAATGACGAGTCGGTGAGTTGGCGAGCGAGTCCATTGAGTTAAAGCTACGGACGGGAAGCAACGAGTCAGAGGATTAAACACGGAGCGTTTGCAGCAGAAGGAAGCTGAGAAGCTTGGAGTCGATGGAGAAGCAGTCGCCATTGATTTTGTGGATTAGATTTTCAAAATAAAGGAGGAAAAATTAGAAAGAAAGAGAAAATAAAAGAAAAGAAGAAGAAGGATTTGCTGGTGATTTTGCAGAAAAACGGAATGGAAGGAGAGTGAGAAGTGAGTTCGTTATGATACTCCGCAAGAGAGGAACTAAGGAAGCAAAGGTTCACGTCATTTGGAAATGAAAATGTGGGGCATTAAGTCCAGTGATTTTGACGGCTCAGATTCGGCACCTATCAATATATTAAGGGACAAGTGATTTCAATTAAGCTTTTCTTTCTTTTCCGACAATGTGATTTCGTCCTTTTGAGTGTTGCGAGCAGTGATTCCATACTCTCATCCCTTAAATATTTATTGGGTTGATATGCACTCTTATCCCTTAAACATTCAGGGTGGAGTACGATTTAATTTTAATTCAACGAATCAAGATACTCGTGCGTGATTAAGATTAAAAAAGAATAATATATATACACTCAATTTCTACACTTAAAATAATAAATTTTTAAATTTATACCATTAATCTTAAAAAAAATATTAAATCAATCTTATGACATAAATATTTAAGATGTCACAAAATTTTTTATGAAAAATAGATGGATGAATTATATATTTGACTCATATTCTTAATAGTTGTTTTTCTTTTAATCATCGTGATATGGAGAAAACATATTTTATTTTTTAATATCGCTATAAACATGGATAGGTACTCACAAAATTTAAGACGTTACGAAATTTGTTTTGAAAAAATTACAATGATGATTTTATGCATTTAAACGATATTCTCATGCTAACATTATTTTCTTTGAATCATCATGATGGTAAAAATGATGATTTTCTGCATTTAAACGATATTCTCATGCTAAAAGTATTTTCTTTGAATCATCATGATGTGCTGGTAAACATGGATATGTACGTTTTATAAGTAACCATGATGTATATAGTAGAATGACATTAGGTTATTACAAGCCTACTTTATGCTAATAGCCCAGTAACCCATCAAGCCCAACCATGAGCAAGACTGATCATCAAATCACATGCATAACTGTTGATTGATCATGATTCATGATGCTTCTAGAAAGTGTATACCATTTTGAATTCTCAATGTTCCGAAATTGATTAATATATAAGGAAAGGAAGTTGTGTATTTAAGTTATTTAAACTTTATTTAAATGCTATTCATGTTGCTTCACTCAAGGCCAATTTTAGCTACTCAATATTTTTCTATGCACACACTTCTCATTCCATTTGCACGTGCAATATTTTTTCTTTAATCTTCTGAAAAAAATATTATAAATAATATTTCAGTATTTATAGTAAAGTTTACATAAAGAAATTCATGCAACCACGTCACGGTACCGCTTAGCGACTTACCAAATATAACATAATAATTCACTTATAATCTGTTTGTTTCCGTAAAATAACTTATAAGAAAATAATTTGCTGATAAAATATTTTCTATGAAAATTTTTTTCCTGAAAAATATGTTCCAAATGACTTATTTTCCGTTGTTCGGTGGTAATATTGAAAAATAGTTTAAAATGTTAAAGTCTTTATCTCATAAAACCATAAAAAATATTAATAATAATAGAAATTTACAATTTAAAAATTTTATTGTTAAATATGAAAAGAATGCAAAAAAAAAAAATGTAAATTATGAAAGTCGTTGTTGGCCGTGGTAAATGGTGACTGGTGGTAGTGACTATGATGATTAATAAATTAAAAAATATAAATTTATAAGATTTACCAATATCCGGAAAATGTTTTACTCTATCGAAAATAAGAAGTTGTTTTCCTTAAAAAAAAAAAAAAATGTAAATTATTGAAAGTCGTATTCGTGGCCGTGGGTAAATGCGTGACTGGTGGTAGTGACTATTGATGATTAATAAATTTAAAAAATATTAAATTTTATTAAAGAATTTACCAATATCGGAAAATTGTTTTTTACTCTATCGAAAATAAGAAGTTGTTTTCCTTAAAAAAATGACTTAATTTCCTTTTGACCAGAAAATATTTTCACGTTCATTTATTTTTTCTGAACATCCCAAACAATGGAAAATTGTAGAAAATATTTTCCTGCAAGTTATTTTAATAGGAAACACAACGAAGGCGCTTAATAAGAAAGATACGTGAATTTTTAATCAAAAAGCTCTTTTATAAATAAAATCATAGTAAAGCAATAATTTTTTAGTCAATTAAAAAATGACTTAATTTTCCTTTGACCAGAAAAATATTTTCCGTTCATTTATTTTTCTGAACATCCCAAACAATGGAAAATTGTAGAAAATATTTTCCTGCAAGTTATTTTATAGAAACAAACGAAGCCTTAATAAGAAGATACGTGAATTTTAATCAAAAAGCTCTTTATAAATAAATTATAGTAAAGCAATAATTTTTTTAGTCAATCTACAGCCTAAATTTCTGTCAAGGAAGCTATATTAAAGAAAATCATAAAAAATTACAAGAAACAATGCTTAAATTAAGAAGTTCATATATAAGTAACATAAAATCTCAAAAGTACACAAAGACAACTAGACAATATGACAAACATACTCGCATACATATTCATTGTAATTCAAATTGTTTCAAAATAACAAGTCACTGATTTCGACAAACTACAATAGCTATTTAGTGAATCCATCTCCGAGGTCAATGAGTAGATAGTTGCAGAAGTTGATAACTCATGGCAATGGCAAGATATTTTCAACATAATTAGTGATTGAAACTAGATTGCTAGATAAATCAAAGGAATCATATTCGGGCAATCCTAGAATTTTGACTCTCCTAATCTTGGATCTTGCTAAATCAAAATAGTACACATAAAAGGGTGTAGATAAGCATTGTGGTGCCATTATAATCTCTTCTGTATCAAGGGAACCTGCAACAATGAAGTTTTGTCCAGTTTCTGTTTTCTTCAAATATGAGGGGAAGATAATATAATGCTTTGTCCAAATTTCATTCTGATAATCCTCTAAAAGCCATAAACAATAATCATCGTCATCAAGTAGACAATCAACTATAACCAAACGCCCTGCTAATCGAATCAAATATGAAGTTTCTACATCGGTCGGTGCACCTCTAGGTAGATGAATTACTCGAAACGTTTCTTTTTGGACATCAAAAGCAATCAAAACTGCCACACCTTCATCGGTTCTTAAGCTAACCCAGCTCCTAAAGAAAATAACCCCATCGATGCAAATACTTTCCCTTTGAGCATAAAAAGGAGGCCCGCTTTGTAGTGGTCGCCATTCTTTTGTCCCCAATGTAAAAACCCTATACTCAGTACTAGGCTTCCTGTAATGTCTCCATGAGTTCAAAACCTTGTATTGCTTGTTAGAAGGATCAAATCCCATAAAATTTACGCAGAAATATGTAGAAGAAGCAGAAAGTGAGGATTTTGAACAAATGTAAGGAAGAGTGATTGCTTGTCTGGTGCTTGGATTGCAAACTGTAGCACAAATGCCAAAGTCCATGCATACTATACCATTAGTTGATTGAGTAGTGTAGCGTGAAAGCCGGGGCGGAACGGTTAGACAACAAGTTGCTGTGCCGCCATTTTGGTCCGCTATAAAAAATGTTTGGGCTAATTGAAGTTTGGTGGTGCAAATGATTAGCAGGCCTTGTTTTGGGTGAGGATAGGGTTCATGTGCAATAACAAATGATGGATTAGTAATTATAGAGGAACATAATTTGTCTACGCACCTGAATCGAACAAGAGATTTAACTGGAAGTCTTGTGAATATACCAAATATAGCTTCAGGAGGGATCGGTGATTTTGATGATGAAGAAGAAGAAGCACATTTTGATTCTGAATTTGGTGCAAGCCTTCTTCTCTTGGTATCTAACTCCATTTCAATGGTTAATCATAACATTAGTTCCTTCCAACATGTATGATTTAAGGTTAGTAAGAGAACTTATAGCTAAAGAAATTATTGAGTAGAACTAGCAAATGCAATAATATAAAAGCTATTTGAGATGCTCTTATAACATGCATCTTCTCTCATATTTAAAAAGTAAAGAATGAATCTTATGCGAATGTAACCTTATGATACATTATTTATATATAGATTACAATAATTCAATGCTTTCTCCAAATATATATAAATATTTGTTAATCATATATATTAGGTATGTACATATAGCAAAATAAATTATAAGACAACATAGATGGTAATATTAAAAGATTTTTATTGAGTTGAAATTTATTAGTAAGTATGTTTATATGCAGTATGCAGCACTATTTTTGGAATGTGGTAGGTAGAATACAACATCACCTTATTAGTAAAACTATTGTAAATCACTCAAAACAAAACCTAGTTGTGTCTCACCCTCTCTCTAATCTTTCGGAGTTTTTTAAGATTTTATTTATTTGAACTGCCGATTATTTTTTTTGACCGGCGGTGGTTTTTTTTTACATTTTCTCTTGATTTTACTTAATTTTCTCTTCAATAATTTTAAGGTTTGATTCGTTTAAAACATATATTTGTTAGTATTTTGATCTATCCTTATTAATAGATCTTTAGTTTTTTTGTTACCCTTTAGTGGAGTTGATTGTCTCTTTTGTACCGTCATGGTGAGGTTTATTGCGCTTTTTTCCTTATATGAATTTCTTCATCGTTATTGAGAGTTTTTAAGTTTTTTTTGTGATTATTCTTCTCTGTTAGTTGGAAATACAAAATGAATTATGGATTACTTTTAATAAATTATCGATTACTTTTAGTCAAAGGATACATATCTTCAAATTCGAGTGGTGATCTTGTACTAATGTATGGAGCTTGTTAGCATTAACGGAGGGATGAGGCCAGGGGTGGTCCCTGCCCCCTAACCAAAATTTCTTTTAAGGAATTAGCCCATAAAATTTTTAAATTTTTTCATTTTACTCATTAAAATATTAAATTTTTTCAAAATTTCCCCTTTTAACTCTTGAAATTTTTTTTAGCCACCGTAATTTTAATCTATGACTTGTCACTGCCGATAATGCGGCTTGTTAATAAAGTTTTGGACAATATTATAAAAAAATTATTTTCTCATCCTATTTGAAAATGATCAAATTTTATTCGAAAGGTTAATCTCTTTTATATTATAAATCACGTTATATTCTTACTAATAATTGTGAGTTTTCCTTGAAAAAAACATCACCTAATTAGTTTCATATATAGGCCCATATAATAGTTGGATTGCATCGAATTCATGTGATCAATACACACACACCACAGAACACACTCATTCACACGCCCAACAAATAGGCATACGTGTGTATGTACGTATAAAATACTTTCTATAATCTCCCAAGCGTTATACGAGCATATCACTTTAGTTAGTAATAATGTATAAATGATTTTTTTTTTTTTTTGGAAAAAAAAATAGTTGTCTATATAAACAAACAAACAAATTATAAACCAAAGCACATCATTTATTACTATTCGATTCAATTATTTTAACCAATAAGGATGTCTATGATCTTTATTCTTATGAGTAAGCATATAATTGAGTATAAGTAAATTTCAACTGAATAAAAATCAGATCACCGCTAAACCACGGTAAAAATCCGCTAACTTGATTTGAGTAAATTTTAATAAAAAAAGATTCTTTTAGCTTTAATTGCAAATTAGTGTTTTTTGAAAATAAATTTTTGTTTTAAAATTTTAAGATCTTGTTTTAAAAAATTCTTATCAAGTAAAAATCTTTTAGAAAATTGATTTTGTTGACTATTTCAATTCGAGAAAAAGATTAACTATAATATAAAAAAACGGAGGTTCAATTTTTATATATTAAAAAAAACACATTAAGTGTTAGTAATTATTGCTGACGTCAGTCTAGGCCGGGTTATTTGGGCTTTAGGAAAGCCCAAATTATAATTAACTGAAATTGCGCTTGGTCCTGCGAGAGAGAGAGAGAGCGCATCAAGAGCCTGTCAAAGTCAAAAAGCCCATCAAGAACCGTCCACAATCACAAGCAAGGAAGTGAAGGCCAGACACGTAGAACTACCCAATCATAAAAGGCCACGCTTCTCCCATCACGAGAACAATTCTAATTGGTTGAACTCTTTGAACTCAAAAACTGATTGGTCCACGTCATCACAGATGACATGTTCCCATACTTTGTTTCCCCCTGACTAATAGAACCGGTACTCTGTATTTATGTTCTCTCTGCTTAGCGAAAGTCTCAATAAGAACTCGAAGCCAATTTCACTCGATTCTACAGAAAACACGCCATTTGAATTAGCTTTAAACGTTAAAAGAACTTATAAACTCAGCATTTGAAGCATAAGGAGATAGAAAGGAAAGAGAAGGAAGAGTTGCACGCGATGGCTGGCTCCTGGAGAGCACGCGGACTGGTTGTATTAGCAATCGTCTTCTTCGGTGAGTGTTGCAATTTTCAGATCGCAGATCTGATTCTTTCAGTTCTTTATTGTTCTTGTTCGTTTTTTTGCTTGTTCATCGTAGGAGTAAAAAGTGTTATAGATCCGCTTTCATTTTTCAGTGTTTTAGATTTACTATTTCAGCTTTTGATCGATCCAATGATGCTCTAGATCTGTATGGATTTAGTTGTTTATGCTGAACTGCAAATTTTTTTATAGTACTGTTCTTTTCAACGAGGAAATGATGATCTATATTTTAAGAAATGATTTCAGTGTTAGCTTCTGCCGATAATAATGTTATTAAGAGACATGCTATGGTAGTGATTGTAGTGTTCGATCACGTGCTGATACTACTGTCTCCTGTTGGCATTTTATTTCTATTACCATTTTGATATCAGTATTGACGTAGTTAAATATGCATTATAGGATGTCTCTTTGCAATCTCCATTGCAAAAGAGGAAGCCACCAAGTTGGGAACTGTCATTGGGATAGATCTCGGTACTACTTATTCTTGTGTTGGTGTTTACAAGAACGGTCATGTCGAAATTATAGCCAATGACCAAGGAAACCGTATTACCCCATCATGGGTTGCTTTCACTGACAGTGAGAGGCTAATTGGTGAGGCTGCAAAGAATCAGGCAGCTGTCAATCCTGAAAGGACCATCTTCGACGTCAAGAGACTTATTGGAAGAAAGTAATGCACCCCTTCCTTCCTAACTCAATTTGTTTATTTATGTTTAGGAATTAGCAGATATTCTTACGAAGTCCTCAATTTTCACAGGTTTGAGGACAAGGAGGTCCAGAGGGACATGAAGCTTGTTCCATATAAAATTGTCAATAAGGATGGAAAGCCCTATATCCAGGTTAAGATTAAGGATGGAGAGACCAAGGTATTCAGTCCTGAAGAGATCAGCGCTATGATTCTGACTAAGATGAAGGAAACAGCTGAAGCATTCCTTGGGAAGAAAATCAAGGATGCAGTGGTCACTGTTCCTGGTTAGTAAAACAACTTGACAGATTTTGACCCCTTTATGCTGTTATACTAAGTGTTCAGTTAATTTTGTTATTAGTTCTGTAACAATTTGGCATTCCTATTCATTGTGCAGCCTATTTCAATGACGCCCAGAGGCAAGCTACCAAAGATGCTGGTGTTATTGCTGGACTAAATGTGGCCAGAATTATTAATGAACCAACTGCTGCTGCCATTGCTTATGGTTTGGATAAGAAAGGTGGCGAGAAGAACATTCTTGTATTTGATCTTGGTGGTGGAACATTTGATGTCAGTATCTTGACAATCGACAATGGTGTTTTTGAGGTTCTCTCAACAAATGGAGACACACATTTGGGAGGTGAGAAATTGCTCCTTTGTTTCTTTTAACTGTTATCAATAGTTTATGATGCTTTATAATCACGTTTCTTTCATGAGATGTTCTGAATGTATGCTTGTGGTCAATTTTCTTACAGGTGAGGACTTCGATCAGAGGATTATGGAGTACTTCATTAAATTAATCAAGAAGAAGCATGGAAAGGATATCAGCAAAGACAACAGGGCTCTTGGAAAGCTCAGGAGGGAAGCTGAGCGAGCCAAGAGAGCTCTTAGCAGCCAGCACCAAGTGCGTGTTGAGATTGAATCACTCTTTGATGGAGTGGACTTCTCTGAACCGCTCACCAGGGCTCGCTTTGAAGAATTGAACAATGATTTGTTCAGAAAGACCATGGGACCTGTGAAGAAGGCCATGGAAGATGCTGGATTGGAGAAGAACCAGATTGATGAGATTGTTCTTGTTGGTGGCAGCACTAGAATTCCAAAGGTTCAACAGTTGCTTAAAGAGTACTTTGATGGAAAAGAGCCAAATAAGGGTGTGAACCCAGATGAGGCTGTTGCTTACGGTGCTGCTGTCCAAGGAGGCATCTTAAGTGGAGAGGGTGGTGATGAAACCAAAGGTAAATACTTAGTGTTTTCTTCAGTTGTACACAATAACAGCTGATGAATGTGGTGTTCTGCTCTTTGTCTAGTTTGAGTTATGACTGACTAATACTCTGGCATGTTGGACGCAGATATCCTTCTCCTGGATGTGGCTCCCCTCACTTTGGGTATTGAAACAGTTGGTGGGGTGATGACCAAGTTGATTCCAAGGAACACTGTTATCCCAACCAAGAAATCTCAAGTTTTCACCACCTACCAGGACCAGCAAACTACTGTGTCCATTCAGGTACAACTATTTGCCATATTGGTTGCCTTTTCCATGAAGTGTGCTTGAATCATAACTTAGTTGCTGTTTGCTTGTATCTTTACATTGTTACTTTGGTTTAATATCAGGTCTTTGAAGGTGAAAGAAGTCTCACAAAGGATTGCAGACTGCTCGGGAAATTCGATCTGACTGGCATTCCTCCAGCCCCAAGGTGTGCCTGCTTTCTCTGTTGTTTTTCTTTGACAATCTCCAATTCGCTGGGAATTAACCTTTTTTGATTCCTTGACTGAACAGGGGAACCCCTCAAATTGAGGTCACATTTGAGGTTGATGCCAACGGTATCCTAAATGTCAAGGCTGAAGATAAGGGCACAGGTAAATCAGAGAAGATCACCATTACAAATGACAAAGGTCGTCTGAGCCAAGAGGAAATTGAGCGCATGGTCCGTGAGGCTGAAGAGTTTGCCGAGGAGGATAAGAAGGTGAAGGAGAGGATTGACGCTCGTAACAGTCTTGAAACCTATGTCTATAACATGAAAAACCAGATTAACGACAAAGACAAGCTTGCAGACAAGCTCGAGTCTGATGAAAAGGAGAAAATTGAAACAGCTGTGAAGGAAGCCCTCGAATGGCTTGATGACAACCAGACTGCTGAGAAAGAGGATTATGAAGAGAAACTCAAGGAGGTCGAAGCCGTTTGCAACCCAATCATCACTGCCGTATATCAAAGATCCGGTGGCGCTCCCGGTGGCGGGTCAGCTGAAGATGAAGAAGATTCACATGATGAGCTGTAAGAATATTTGAAGAAATGAGGATATAGGCTTAGGCGAAGAGGTTGATTGAGATACTGTAATTTTTCTGATGGTAGAAGCAAAAGGGAGAGGAAATTCCCCTTTCTTCTCATGTTTTTTTGAAGGTTAAAAATACGTTGAGGAGGTCCTTTTATGTTTTTATTACTAATTTGTAATTTCTTTGTTTAAAAACTTAATTAAATTCCTTCTATCACAATCTTTTCTACAAACCAATATGACGTCATATTGGTTAAAAATCAATTGGATGAGCGGCGCTGCTGGAAGTTTCCCCGAATCTCAGCGATAAACGTAATGGGGAAACTAATTTTCGTTAATTTTTAACTGAAAGCTCCGAAGTGCGAAAACAGAAGTGACGCTAAAATAGGCCCCTGAATAAAATCAGAAATACCATTACTTTAATATCTCAAACTATTTTGATACATAATCTAATGTTAAAAAAAAAATAAAAAAACTGTTCTTATACCAAATGAATGTCATGCTATTATTATTTAATTTTTATATTATATTTCATACGACGAAGATATACTTTTCCTTTTTCTTTTAAAATATTTAAATAAAAACCCATTGGCACCAAGCAAATGCTAAATGTTTGGTAATTTAACGTTTGGTAATTTTTCCTCCGACCAGGCTTGCCGGTAATGGGGGTAATTATGGTAAAGGGAGCAGAAAATCTCTCTTTTCTTTTAAATCCCTCTATTAAGAATTCTCTTCTCAAGTTCTTTTTTGCGTAGTCTCGGCACATGAGCCCATTTATTTATTTTATTTTTTTGGAATTAAAATTAACAAAAGAATGCACTGTGAATGTTATTCAATAAAAACGGAATGTAATTTCATTATACATTTTCTTTAAGAATGAACAGCCGAAAAAATATTTTATTTGCTATCAGAAAACTTTTAGCCTTTCAAAATCAAAGGCCAGCTCTTGGATCGCCAGAGCCCGCTGCCACAACCCCCATCCCCACAATCGGAGCAACTTTGTCTCCATCCAACTCCTGAACAAGTTCATCAATCTTGCGGAATTGATAGGGCCATCTTGCATTATAGAGAAACTGACGAAGATCAAACCTATTATCCTCTGGTGAATAACTCTGCAACCAAGATAGGTGTAAGTTTCAAGATTGATACATAAACATTATGTTCTCTCTCTTCGACATTATAATTACCTCAGCATGATACGAAGGTGTTAAGACAGTCATTTTATGGCGGTTAATAGAATAGTACTTGAAGAAGTGTTTCACTTTCTCGGCCACCTCCGATGGAGTTAATGTCGAACCCCATTTGTAGCAGAGATTCTGTAACAATCACCATAGCATTCAAAGAAGTGAGATTCTGAACACAATAAGCCATTCATGAGAGAAAATGACTCAGAAACCACACCTTAAACATCGACACTGGCCCACAGCGGAAAATTTTTCTCAATCTTCCATAAACTGAGAGTTCCTCGTATGTCATTCCCATGTCCACTTCATCAAGCTGTTCCATGGCATTAGAGTTACAAACCATTACTTGCATAAAAATTTAAAGAAAAGAGAAATGGACTTTGGTTTTTGCTTGGAAGAGAGAAATGATGGCCACTGACGATCAAGGGATAATAATCCAACAGTCAGCAAGCGGATGGGATTTTTAAAAGTAAAACACCAAGGGGAAAAGATGAAAAAAAGTAGAGAGAATATAGATGGTGGAATTGGCAGGTCTTCACACAATGGACAAATTTCTTGCATACAATTTGGAAAAGGAAGAAAACTGAAAGGTTATCATCAAAAGACAAAGAAAACATTCTGAAAAGGGCAAAAAAGAAAAAAAAAAAAAGAATGAAGGAATTCAGAACACAACTGAAAGAAATTAAAATAAAGAAAATGAAATGTTACAGGTTGAAACAAAATGTAACCATGCATCACAGAATAGTTTTCATGGTTATTTATGCAGTTCAAAATTAATATCAGAAACAGGAAAAGGGAAAGAATTGAAAATTTCAAATGAAGTTACTGACGAATGAATACCTGACTGTAGTTAGAACGAATAGGCTCCAATTCAGCTGTTGGTGGTGCTGATTCAACCTCTGCCAAGGATGAATAACCGAGATGGATGGCAGCCCATCGCAGGAATGCCCGAAGATCCTGCTTGCTAATACTTCCTATTGGATTTATATCTGCTGAGCTACAATCATACTGCAAAAGCAATAATGTGATATTTTTGCAAGAAAAAGTGTTTTTGAGGTAAAAATCAACATTTGAAAGGTTAAAAATAAGTCTCTAACTCCCTCTAAACAAGGATTAGAAATGAAGTACCCAAGTTCACCAACAATGAAAAGCAATCTAATAAAATCAAAATCAGAATAAAATTATCCAAAAAGTGGCTTCTTTACATGTTAGAATTGGTACTACCTTTGTTAGGTAACCACGCAATCCTTCGTCCACATTAGAACTACCCAAAACGAGATAGAATCCTGATTTGTTATGAACCCAAGGCAAGAGTGAGGCTAACATAAATGCTAGCACCATCCTGATTCGAGCTTGAATGTTCTGCAATCCTAGGTTCTCAACATCAGAACCCCCATCCACCTGAAAAAAGAAACGAATTAAAAAATCTTTTATTACAAGAACAATGATGCACCATACCGACAATTGACAGACAAGAACGACGCCAAATGAAAAAAGGAATGCTTTTCGACTCACCTAGGGAAATTTTTTTTGTAAATGATGTTATGACAATCAAAGACTACTTTAGCATTTAATTAATGATATGAATTGTCAAATCAAAACGCATATATGTAAGGAACTTTTGTTAAGAAATATAGAAGAGTATAATGTAGGGGTAAGTATCTGCTTATGGAGCCCTACACACAACAAGAAGCAAAAACATTAAAACTATAACGAAAATGTAATGCACTCCAACCAAGTTAAATGAAAAGAACCATAAGCCCATAGGGAAGCCAAAAGAACCACCTGATCCCATAGAAAATTAAAGGAGCATTATGCATGTTGTACTGACACCACAAGAAAAAGTGTATAGAGTGAGTTTTTCACCAAAAGCTATCACAAGTGACTAGAGAAAACAATGACTGGGTGAAAAGGATTCCGTTCTTCACAATGAACTGGAAGAAGATTTAGAATAACTGTTTACCTTATAACGCGGTCGTTTGCCGGTTAGTGTTTGAAACAAGGATAATAACGCAGAAACAACACCATCTATTGAAACGTCAAGATGCCATGAACCAATCTCATTGGCTAGAACCTTTGCCCGCTGTCTAGTGGCTTCAGAACTGCCAAAAAAAGAAAAAATAAGGGGTGGAGCGGTAGTCTTTGATGCTACTCCAAAAATGATGACATGTACTGAATGTGATTGCAAATCTAATAAAGAAGAATAAAAAGGTAAAAAGGCAAGAAATTTATCTGCGTGTACTAACCTGTTTTCAGATCCCATAAAAACAGTATAAAATATGCGCTTTGCAAATTCTTTGCTGTCAGTGGGAAATTGTCCATTGGTGTAGCGTCCAATTCGTATTGCATCAGCTTTCACTTGTTCATCCCCATTTGCAATCTCTGCAAGCAATGTGTAAAACCAATTGATGACTAATAATGATGGACACAAAAGCTTGACAAACCTAGAATGAGAATAAACCTTTTCTGTCTCTGCTGAAGACAGAAACTTATGCTAGGTGTCAAAAAAGATACTATGTTTGAAACTTTTGCTGGTGCACCAATACCAACCTCATAAATAATATATTCAATGCTACCAAGAAGTTTGCCTTCGCCAGTTAGCACTGACCCTATGGCAATAGTAGAACAGGAGTGAAAGAATAGGTTTTAAATTCAAAAGCTCATACTATAGCTGCACTCATGATCTGTTAGAAAGGGAAGAAGCCCTATCTTGGTTAAATAGAGATACAATGGCCAGCTGATATCAGGCTCAACTGAAAATCTTGCCCAGAACTTATAAGAACTAAATATTCTCAACCTAATTTAATAGAACTTAAGGCCAAGTGTTTACACATTCCTCCTCCAATGTTCCTAGCCAAAGTCTCCGCCTTTGATCCAGATAAATGTTGCCCATTAATTTGGATTGGGTACAGGAATGAGATTTTGTGCTTGACAAATTACTTGGGTCACCTCTTGCTACCTGGTTATCTCTATTGATAACCCTGCTACACAAGCAGGCCATTAATTTTGTATCTAGCCGTTTGATTTTTTTATTTTATCTTGGCAATGCATATAAGGATAAGTAGAGCTCCCCTACAGACGCCAAGATTATTTAGTTGTTCATTGATTGAAAACCAGAACAAATAGTAAAAGAACACTAAACTAAATATTAACTTTAACTGACCTTTCACAACAAGTTGGCACATGCAGCCAACAATAGCAGCCACAGAGGAGCTATCTGCTCCACCAGAAAGAGGAAGCAAAAATCCAGAGGCACCACTTCTTCTTAAATAGTCCCACAGCCAGCAACCAGGACCAAAGGCTATTTCTTCTTCAGGAGAATGATAATCAATCTAGAGATTGTAAATAATTGGTTAATTTAGCAAAATAATCAATTGACTCAATGCCACGATTAATATGTCATTTATTACTTTATAAACCTACAAAGCACTGTCAAATGATACCAAGTTCCAGATACAGGGAATTCAAACAACGATAACACACTTGAAAAATCTGCTCCCTATCCAGTAAGAGACATCTATGGAGGCCTCAGCAAGTGCTTTTGGGAAAAGATTATACAAAGAAAATAAAGAGAAATGTGGTTGATCTAACTGCTGTTTAAGTGCAGACAATCATTTTACAGAAAATTTAACTAACTGAAGGTAATCAGTGTTCCATTTTTCTTGATGGATTAGTGCTAGAAAGGCTCCAACATTGAGACCTATCTGTTATTTGTAAAAATGGGATAAACAAGATTTTATTGCATTGGGCATGTCAGAAAGCATAGTAGTTTGAAACAAACTTCATTAAGATAAGTGGAAAACAAAATAATCCAGCAAAAGTTTTAGGAGCTGACATCAAGTAATTTTAATTTAACAAAGAAAATAAAGAGAAATGTGGTTGATCTAACTGCTGTTTAAGTGCAGACAATCATTTTACAGAAAATTTAACTAACTGAAGGTAATCAGTGTTCCATTTTTCTTGATGGATTAGTGCTAGAAAGGCTCCAACATTGAGACCTATCTGTTATTTGTAAAAATGGGATAAACAAGATTTTATTGCATTGGGCGTGTCAGAAAGCATAGTAGTTTGAAACAAACTTCATTAAGATAAGTGGAAAACAAAATAATCCAGCAAAAGTTTTAGGAGCTGACATCAAGTAATTTTAATTTAACAACAGTAATGCATCAAGAGCAAACCTTAAGGGGAGTAGAAAGGGATATTTGCAGGTTAAAGGGCTGACAAAGGTTGAATGGTGCTGCTATTGATGACACTCTCGTTTTGCAACTAGCTTGTTCTTGAAAACTACTGATGGACCCCCTTAGGCTAGCCACCTGCCATCAAACAAGAAACTAGCTATTTCAGAGCCGCATACTTTAATGCAAATAATGAGAATAACTAGGTTTCAAAATGATAGAAAATTGCATCAAGGAAAGAAAAATATATCGACAGCGTTTTTGGTTGAAGGTCCAAAGCAATTCAAGGGTAAAGCATACCGCATCAAGATCCACTTGGGCAACCACAACCTCAACATCCCTCAAAGAAAATTGTGATCCTTGAGCAACTACTTCTCCATTTACAGCAATACAAGAACATCCATCTGTAACAAAGAAATTATTATAGATACCAAAAGCATAATAAAGTGCTGAGTTATTACAAGGCATAAACAGCAATAACGAAGAGTTGGAGATTCTTGAGCTAGGCAAAAGAACAACAGCATTAGGATGAGAGCATTTAAGTACCATAATAAAGGCGGGCACCATCACATCCTTGTTGATTACTGTACATGTAAACCCCTCCTCGAGTATGAGTAGCACCAATGAAAGCACGAATACGAAGATCAAGCTTCCTCAATTGGTGATGACTTCCACTAGCATTCATGAACACTTCAACCCCATTAAGCGCAAGTTCAGCATGTGGAGGGATAGGAGTGAAAAGTTCTTCACAAACTTCAGCAGCAACAGCTCTAAGCAACAAAAACGTCAGTGTTAGCTTATTGCTAAGCTGCTAAGCAGCTAATCAGCAGTCTACAATACAAATCAAGAAACACATTTTATTGCTTACGTATCTAAAAACTGAATAAATCCATAACCAAAAGGCACTGAATCCTGATTTATAGCCTTTGAAATTTCAATTGGGAGCTGAAAGTCAACAAGCTGATCTTTTTGCTTCCACGCGGTAAACCATCTAAGCTCCCTGTAATTACCATCATTAGCAAGCCACATTTTTGGACGTATCATTAAAATTTTCCTGTTAAAGCACAAAACTTGACAATTGTAACGCTCTGATCCTTTAATAACCGGCATCCCAAAACTGCACAATAACCCATCAGTCCAATCGCCGAGCAAAATTTCCTTCAGACACTCCCATCTGCAGTCACAATCACTCCAATTAAACGAAATTACATTATTACAAACTGAAACTAAGGGTTAATTCTTAATCAACTTACGCATGAGTGACGGTGTCAAGCTCCAAGAAATGATCTTCACATCCATAGCCAGTGATTTCAAGTTCAGGGCCGAGTCTAATAACCGCACCAGCTTGTTTGGCCTTAGATATTGACTCCTTTATGTTCTTCAAGTTACAGTCGAAGTCCATAGCCCACTGGTTCAAGTTACAAGTAGCTACCTTCAACAGCCTCATCTTCGAATTCTTTGATAAAAAAACAAATAACTTAAAAATGGAGATAGAAGTAGTAGAGCCTTATGGGTTTGGACACAAATGTGGAGGAAGAAGAAGAAGGGAAAAAATTTGTGGCGTTCTGTGCTTGGAATCGGTGGAATTGGATTCTATATATTGGTAATTTTGGAGGGATTCTACATTTATAGGATTTTTTGGGACTGACGTTTAGACGGGGGTGGAAATTAATACCTGTAAAATTCTAAGTCCGGGTTCCAGGATCCTTGGACGGGTTTGATCGAAAGCTTTTTTGACCCGTTTTTCGTGTCAAACCGGGAGAAATAGAATATTTATTTATTTATTTATATTTATTTAGTTTCCTGAAAGGATGTCGTTTTGGAAAAATTGTCTATGTGCTGCCTTGTTAATCCATGGCATTTCCGTTGATTACTGCTCTTTGAAAGGAACTTTCTAGTGCTAAATCACGTACATACTGAACCGAAGAGAATTATTTATTGAAAATTCGATCTATCTATATATTAAGTCAGAAATTAAAAAAAAAAAAATACGAAAGTATTTTTGGCTATTCATTAAAAAAAATGAAAATTATTTCTTTCCCTAAAAACATGAATATATGGTGTTAAAAATATAAAAAATAGATAAACGTGTTGTTGATCGTTAATCACCAACAATTATTATAATTTTAATACTAAATAATCAGGAGTACAGGATAATGTTAACATTTGTTTTTTGTAATTCAAAATATAAATTAAGATAAAGACTTATATTTATTTTTTATAATAAAGGCCGGTTTTAGAATTTGCTTTATTAGCCTGAAGCTACCGGAATTTCCCTGTCACTTGGTTCTGTAATAATAATAATATCGTTATCAATTTTATTACTATCCAACTCCGAAGCAAGTTCATCAATCTTTTGAAATTGACGGAACCATCTTGTATTGTACAGAAACTGGCGAAGATCGCTTCTGTTATCGTCAGGTGCGTAACTCTGCATGAAGTTTTTACAGTAATAGTGAGTTTCTTGAGTCCTAACATTGATGTAATAATCTTAGATACTTGGTTGGAAGTTGGATACTTGACAGTTAAATACCTCAGCTTGATACGAAGGTGTCAGAACAGTCATTTTGTGTCGATTAATGGAATAATAGTTGAAGAAGTTTTTCACTTTATCAGCTACTTCTGATGGATTTAATCCTGAAGTTGAACCCCATTTGTGGCAAAGATTCTGTAACAATCAATTTTCAATGTACCCAGTTAGATGCTGAATTTCATAAGCCTTTCATTAATCTAGGAGACATGATCACACCTGAAACATTGACACTGGTCCACATCGGAAAGTTTTTCGCCATTTTCCGAGAACTGAGAGTTCTTCAGATGTCATGACAATTTCCTTCGCATCGAGCTGTTTTTATGTAGAATGTAGTTTTTATGCCCAGAAATAAAGAATATATTGACAATTAAGATCACACCAAAAATTATACTCACATTTTGGCTAGCTGCTTCAACTTTTGCCAAGGAGGAGTAACCAAGGTTGGTGGCAGCCCATCGGAGAAAAGCCTGAATGTCCTTCTTGTTAAAGCTACCAATTGGATTTATATCTCCAGAGCTACAACCATACTGCAAAAGCAAATAAAATTGACCCATCGGAACTCAGAAAAGAGAATTTCTGTCCTAGGACAAAAACCTGTTAGTAAGATACGAATACTGTTAGTAGCTTGCCTTTGTCAGCTGGCCACTCAATTGTTCATCTACACTAGAGCTACTCAGAACGAGAAAAAACCCTGACTTGTTATGCACCCAAGGCAAGAGTGAGGCTAAAGTTGATGCTAGTGTCATTCTTGTTCGAGCTTGAATGTTCTTCAACCCTCGATTCTCAGCATCAGAACCTCCATCTACCTGTAAAATAAAAGCATAAGATTGACAAAATTATGATAATTCAATTAGTCAGATGAGTAAAACACTTTGCAAATACTTTATAATCATTTGCTAGGTGATAGTAGTACCACATTTTTTACCTTATTCCTCGGTTTCTTGCCAGTAACTGTTTGAAAGACTGATAGAAGTGCAGAAACAACACTGTCTACTGAAACATCAAGATGTCTCGAGCCAATATCATCTGCCATAGCCTTTGCTTGTTGTTTCATGGCTTCTGAACTGCAAAAAATTCACTCTATAAACCGTTTGGTATTGTTCTCTTTGGTTTTTGTTTTTCAAATTTGAAGAAAGAAGGATTATTTAAATTTTTATTTGCTGTATTGTTTGGCGTCTTAAAATTGAAAAACAGGTTGCCAATTTCCAAGAAACAGACTTCTGGTTTAAAAACATAAAATCCAAAAACCAAAAACATAAATGATACCAAACGCCAAGCTAGCCAACCTGTTCTCAGACTCCATAAATACAGTGTAAAATATGCGCTTTGCGAATTCTTTGCTGTCTGTAGGAAATTGCTCATCAGTATAACATCCAATTCTTATTGCATCAGCTTTGACTTGCTCGTCTCCATTTGCAATCTCTGCAAGCTAACAATCATAAGCTTTAGGGGCAATTCTTTTTTTTTCCTTGGTCCATAAGATGGGAGAAAGCTTTTCTTTGTCACTACGACATATATATATCTGAAAACTCCTGTACATGTCACTGCCAACCTTAAATCATAAATTCAGAAGTTCAGCTCAATAGAACTAATTGCATAGTCATCTCCAAATTTCTATGACCCATCAATTAAATGTGACAGTAAAAGTTGGAGTGCTAGATTCCTTTCTTCTTTTCCTTTTTCTCCTTAAGCAAACGAAAAAATAATCCTTGGCAGACAGTCATCATGCCTGCCACTAATAAAGAGCAGCATGATAAAAAGGATATATTCCATTCGAGCATCCCAAAAGATGGATTGTTCGTAGATAAAGCACCATATAGACTTATAAATTACAAAAGCTGAGAGTTGATTGAGATTGAAACTAAAAAGCATAAAGTATTAGATTAGATCAATAACTCATTGAACGAACTTCATATAGCTGACCTTTCACAACAAGCTGACACATTGAGCCAACTATAGCAGCCACAGCAGAACTATTTACAGCACCAGAAAGTGGAAGCAAAAACCCAGAAGCTTCACTTCTCCTTAAGTAGTCCCATAGCCAGCAAGCAGGGCCCGAAGCTATTTCCTCCTCAGGAGAGCAAGGAGTCATCTATGGATGATAATGATCATGCCAATTTAGCAAACTTGGATAATAAACTCAGTCCTAAACTAGTTGGAATTTGCAACGAACCTTAATAGGATTCGAAATGGGCATTTTCAGGTTAAAAGTTTGACATAGCTTGTATGGTACTGCAAGCGAAGGTATTCTGGTTTTACCACTTGGTTCCTCTAGAAAACTGCTTGAAGATCCTCTTTTAGCAGCAACCTGCCAATAAGGAAAAAGAAAAGTTGATGTAACTATAACGGAAACTAAGAAATGTCATTAACAAGATGTTCAACTCATATAAAGATAGTAGTAAATATTAGCATACCGCATCCAAATCTACTTGGGCAAGCACAACCTCAACATCCTTGAGAGAAAATTGTGAGCCTAAAGCCACCACTTCTCCATTTACAACAACACAAGAACATCCATCTGCAACAAAAAAAAAAATTAATTACCAACCACAAGATTTCACACTTCCAACCAAAAGAAAGTGTTTTCTGTACCATAATACAGGCGACCACCATCACATCCTCGATGATTGCTGTACATGTAAACTCCTCCAAGGCTACGAGTAACACCTATCAAAGCGCGAAGACGGAAACCAATTGCCTTTCTTAGTTGATGAGGACTTCCACTTGCATTCAAGAAAACTTCAACTCCATTTTGTCCAAGATCATCATGAGGAGGGAAACGGGAGAAAAGCTCTTTGCAAACTTCGGCAGCAACAGCTCTAATAAGGAATATAGAACAAGAAGAAAAAAGACCATTTATATGTGCATCGAATCAGAAAAAAAAAACAAACATTGTTTAGTTCCTTACGCGTCTAGAAATTGAATGTATCCATAACCAAAAGGTGCTGATTTCTGTGCTGTAGCCTCTGAAATTTCACTTGGGAGCTGAAAATCTAATAGTTGATCTTTTTGTGGCCATGGCTTGAAATATCTAAACTCCATGAAACTGTCACCATTTGCAAGCCTCATTTTTGGGCGTATCATTATAATCTTTCTGTTCATACATAAAACTTGGCAATTGTAACGTTCTGATCCCTTTATAATTGGCATTCCTATGCTGCATAATATTCCATCTGTCCAATCCCCAACGAGAATTTCTTTCAAGCTCTCCCATCTGCCATGTTTTTGCATAATCTTCAGTATCAAACTCAATAAATTTTTTTAATGGACGTTGTCGGAAAAATTTATATTAAAAACAGAAGTAATTAAGACAGAAGAAACTTACGCATGAGTGACAGTATCAAGTTCCAAGAAATGATCTTCGCAGCCATAGCCAGTGACTTCAAGCTCAGGGCCAAGTCTAACTACTGCACCAGCTTGTTTAGCCTTAACTATGGATTCTTTAATGTTCTTTAAATTGTAATCAAAATCCATTGCCCACTGGTTCAAGTTACAGGTTGCTACTTTCAACAATCTCATCTTCAAATCCTTCAAAATGCATATAACTGATCAATGACGATAATTATATACACAGAGAAAAATCTGTAACGAAGAAAAAAACAAGATAGAACTATCTCTTACTCTTATGTAGTACTCTTAAATGACACAAGCTTTGAATGTGATTGTGGAGACAGAGAGATATGTAGGCCTAAACCAAGAACAGAAGCAACTTTGCCCTTACACTGGAACTGCAATGTCTTGTTCTCTTCTCTTTTTCTAGCCGTCAGGACCACATATTCCATAGAAAATCAAATTATTTACCTGACATGGAAGCATAAATAGTAAAGCAACCAAGAAATGGAAGCAGGGTTAGTCTAATATCAAAACCAAGAAATAGAAAAAAGAAGGAAAAATAAAATAAAATAAAGAAGTTGTCAGCTCGTGAATCACACCCACGTTTTTTATTGGATTAATGTTCTACTAAAAAAAAAAAAGCTAATGTTCTTGATCTATTTTTCCTTTAAATTTTCTTTAAAAAACCAAAAATTAATATTCTGAACTAAAAAGTTTAAAACTAAAGTTAAAACGTAACTTGCTTGCTTGCTTGATTGTTTTAATCTCAAAATAGCTTGATACTGCATGTAAAGTTTTATGATTTTGTTTTTTTTTTTCTTTTTTTGAAAAAGTTCCAAATTAACAAATTCTAAATAAAATTGCGAAAATGTATGCTTAAACTTTTCCCAGACGTTTATGCAATAATAATTACAATGGCAAATGGATATATTTCTTTCTAATCATATATTATTAATCTAATAATATAAAATCAATTAACATTTATTGTTCAAAAATGTCTCCTGTCTTTTACTCACATGGATTGCTTTTAATATGTTTGTTTATGGCTTCCATAAATAGTTTACGAGCTTCGAGATCTGTGCAGCATGTGTTCATTTATATCCAATCAAAAATCAGAATTTGTTGCTTTTACATTATTTTTAATCAAATTCCTACCCACTTTTAGGATGGAATTGAAATATATCCACAAGTTTTATTTTGCTTTTAGGGTACAATTAGACCAAAAACTAAATTAAAGTTTAATTTAAATTAGGTTGATATGTTCAATTTAAGATGAAATTATAGAAATTTTATTACCTACATGCCGTGTATGAATGGTCACATATACCAAATCAATTAAAATTTTTTTTTTTAATTTCTCATTTTTTTTCTCAATGTATAATCAGCAATACTTTCGTTTGAACCAACGCTCGACATATGTAGGTCTTTTCTAAAATTGTAATGGCTTGAAAAAATAGAGTGGAATTGATGATTAGGCACTTAATATTTATATATTGGATAAAGCAACAAATTCTTAGGTTTGGTAGACAAATAATAATATTATAAAATAATATTGGACTAAACTCGGGAGAATTTCATATTCTCGATAGATTGGGCCGAGATCCAGGAATTAAATTCGTTGATCTGCATTCACAAACCCCAATAGCAGGATGGTTGCTAAGCCCGTTAAGTTGTGAGGTGTCCAGTGTGGGACCGTAAAACCCCGGCTTCCAAACATTCCCGATATCTGGATATACGCTGTCGTTTAGGCCTCTCCTTTTTGCTCTTCTACAGCGAACGACCTCCGTAGCTCTCTCAATTGAGTTCTCTGTGGTTGTATCTAAAAAAACCTTGCCAGTAGTACCATTTTCTTCTTTGTTTCGAGAATTTGGCCATGACCGAAGTGGCCAGCTCAGTTGTGCACGAGGTGCTCGGCCCTCGAGTCCAGGATGTGGATCAGCCAATTGTCGACTACATCATCAACGTTCTAGCTGATGAGGACTTCGATTTCGGTGAGGAAGGCGAAGGTGCTTTTGAAGCTCTTGGTGAACTCCTCGTCGGCGCCGGATGCGTCTCCGACTTTGAAGAGTGCCGTCTGGTAAAATTACTTGCGTCTGCAATTCTATTTACTATGTTGTGAGAATGGCGATTTAAGTTTCTTTGGTACTGGATAGCACATAGCTTGTGCTTCTTGTTCGTTTGCTTATTAAAAATTTAAGCTGTCTGTTTGTTTCACGTTAGCTAAGCTAAGTAACTAAGGTCGTTTCCTCTTTCTGTATTTGCTAGCTAAGAAATGTGGAGAGAAATGAAAGCTATGGCATTTTGAGATTAAAACTGCTGTTTATAATCGGAATTCAGTACTTAGTTTTTATCTTGTGGTAGGAAGTTGGGTTTCAAACTTATCTTGTTATAATGTTATGCATAAACATATTTCACTGACAGGAGGCCTTAGTTTTACTTTTAAATGGGTGTACGATTGTAATTTGTGCTGGTGATTGTCACGCTAACTCCATTTCCCTTTTTTTACCATTCATGGTATTTGTAATAGGTTTGCGGTAAGCTATCTGAAAAATTTGGGAAGCATGGATTGGTAAAAGCAAAACCAACAGTGCGGAGCCTTACAGCACCTATAAGAATGAATGATGGAATGGATGAGGAGGTCCCAAAGAAGAAGCCTGAGGTTATGGAAGGTCCTGTGCTGTCCGAGCGTGACCGTGCAAAGATAGAGAGGAGAAAGAGAAAGGAGGAGCGCCAAAGAGAGGTAAGCTTTTGCCTTCTCCTGTACTCTTTCACATGACCATCCCCCATCTATTATGTCAATGCTTTTATACTGGGATGTGATTCTAACCTTAGGCTGTTTAACATCATATTTGGTTGTGTTGTAATATGATTCCTTGATATTTTGTTAAAATATTGAATCAGGTTGATAATTCATTGAGCTTGGTCGCCATTAATTTGCAATTTATGATCCTGCAATTTTGCATTCATTTACGTTTTTTTCTTTTCTTCATTTGTAATTCTTTCAAATTAAACAGGCACAATATCAAGTGCATCTAGCAGAAATGGAAGCAGTTAAAGCTGGAATGCCCGTTGTTTGTGTGAATCATGATCAAGGTACTGGACCAGCTGTCAAGGACATTCATATGGAGAACTTCAATATATCTGTGGGTGGTCGTGATCTCATTGTAGACGGTTCAGTCACACTTTCTTTTGGAAGGCATTATGGTTAGTTTTCTATTATTTGCCACATGAGATATTCTGCCCTGGTTCCAAAAGCAGGAAAAGTAGAAAGAAAATGAAGAATTAGAAATATGAGGAGATAAGATATTTGTTAAAATAAAGTTCCTCTTGGCTGTCAATGATTTTTTTTTTGCAACATTTTGCTTGCAGGCCTTGTTGGTAGAAATGGAACTGGGAAAACAACTTTCCTCAGGCATATGGCTTTGCATGCCATTGATGGTATTCCTTCAAACTGCCAAATCTTACATGTTGAACAAGAAGTGGTAGGTGATGATACTTCAGCCTTGCAATGTGTTCTGAACTCTGATATCGAGAGAACTCAGCTTTTGGAAGAAGAAGCTCATTTACTTGCACAACAAGTATGTTTATACCTTTTACTGTGAAGAATATTATGTTTAAAATTTCTTTATTGCACCTTGTAGCCTTGCTAACATATTGATGATTTTCTTTAAGAGAGATTTGGATTTTGAGGGAGAGAAAGGAAGTAGCAAACTGGATCAAAATGGGGAAATGGACAAGGATGCTGTCTCACGAAGGCTTGAGGAAATATATAAAAGGCTTGAGTTCATTGATGCATATTCTGCTGAAGCACGTGCTGCTTCCATTCTTGCGGTCAGTTCTCTACTCTTTCTTTATTCAGTAATGATGCCCAGTTGACTTAGACCTCAAAATAAATATTTGGTCGAAAAAAAAAAAAAATTAGAAACAGTAAAAAATGAGGTCTAGCCAAGGTTTTGGGTAGCTGATGATGAAAAAGTTTCCTGAGGAAGCAAGAAGAGTTCTTTTATGGATCACTTGACCAAATTAGCAGCTCTAGTACCGGAAGCCTTTATCTGTCTCAGATTGACTTCGGTTCAATATAACCTGTCATTTGGGATCAGAACGTATATGGATAGAACTTATAGCTTGGTCTTGAAAAACAAGTAATTTCTCATCATTCCTTGAATATGTGCAGGGCCTCAGTTTCACTCCAGAAATGCAGAAGAAGGCAACCAAAGCTTTTTCTGGAGGATGGCGTATGAGAATAGCCCTTGCTCGTGCCCTGTTTATCGAACCTGATTTGTTACTACTCGATGAACCTACGGTGCAGAATCTATTTATGTGCTTGTCAAGATATTTGTTTCATTTAGTATGGGTTGGTTTACAGGTTTTTAATTTTTCTGCAGAACCATCTTGATCTTCATGCTGTTCTATGGCTAGAATCTTACCTTGTGAAGTGGCCAAAAACATTCATAGTTGTTTCTCATGCTAGAGAATTTTTGAACACGGTAATATTCACATGCTACTTAATTAGGTATTAGAAAAATCGTAGGTCATCAGGACATTCTCTGCCTTCTATTTGTGTAACGTCAGTTTTGTTTCTCAGGTGGTTACAGATATTCTCCATTTACATGGGCAAAAGTTGACTGCTTACAAGGGTGATTATGATACATTTGAGAGGACACGGGAGGAGCAAATTAAGAACCAACAGAAAGCATTTGAGGCAAATGAAAAAGCAAGATCCCATATGCAGGTCTGCTTTTTGTACATGCAATGATGTGTATTATGTAATATTTCATTTGTTGTTTTGATGGCGGCAATTTTTTTTTTGCCTTTGCAACATTTATTTCTAAACTCAGAGCAAGCACATCTTATTTCATGAAGTCCATTTTGCATAATTTTTTTCATGAAGCTTTGCACAATTGCATAACTTGTTTTATATGAAGCTTTGCATTAGGTTTCTAACTTTTCCACATTGATTATGCTTTCTCTCTTTTCCATTTTGGTTATGTAATGCGACTGTAGGTGGGCATTCCGTATTTTTTAGTTTGTATTTATATCATACCCAGTCATTATTTATCAGGTCCTAATAATACAGTGATGTTGATATCAGACTCCTCATGCCGTACCAGACATAATGTTGATGATTTGTTGTTTTATGGTTACCAACTTTAATTTGTTTTCCCCTCTTTCCCCACATTTAATTTTAGTGCTTTTGACTTTGTTATGCATAAAGAATTTGAAAATTGATGTGCAATATATAATTAAGTCAACATTTCGAATTATGAGTACTGTGTTTAACTTGCAAATATATATTTTTTCTTCTTGCAGTCCTTTATCGACAAGTTTCGTTATAATGCAAAGAGAGCATCTCTTGTCCAGTCAAGAATTAAGGTGATTATTTTCATTTGATAGATGACCTTGACTTGAAAATTTAAAACCTTTTGCTGCTTATTTTGCTTGATAAATCTGTGCTTATTCTTTCCATGGACTCTTCAGGCACTGGAGCGAATGGGTCATGTAGATGAAATTGTCAATGACCCAGAGTATGCATTGCTCTTCT